AATTGCTGGAGAGATCTCCCACAAGCTAAGATCCAAGATTGGATTGAGCGTATTCTTATACATATTCCAAAGATAATTGAGCTACAAGGTGGTAATGAGTATATAGAGGGGAGAGATAGGCGTTGTGTAGGAGAGCGGCCAGATTTCGGCTAAATTATTCTTGGCAGGACAAAACTTTTGTGAGGCACCTCCGTACCCATTGCTGGTTTTACCCACACCCACCGACATTCACCCTCTCCCTCACATCATCATCCACATCATCGTCATCATCATCACCCAACTTATCCTCCTCCTCCTCCTTCTTGCTTTTCCCCCTTTATTTCACAAGAAAAAAAAATCTAACTTTAACATCGCTGCTTTCCACACGAGTACATACTTGACGTGGCTTGTGACGGCAGTCGGCATCAGATTGGGCCTGGCCTGACTTGTCTTGTCTTGTCTTGTCGGCCGCGGATCTGCGCTCCTTTCTCGCATCCTTTTTTTTTGCGTACTCGTACTCGGAGTTTGAGCAACTCGCGCGTGTCCGAATCCTCAAACTGGCAGGTTTTTTTGGGGAGAGGGAGGCAAAGTGAAGGAAATAAAGAAAATAATTGAGGAAGAGAGAGAGGGAGAGATTGGAACAGGAACAGGAAAAGAGACGAAGGGTTTGCATAAAAGGATATATTGTTTGAAGAGGGAAGAGACAGGAAAGGACATATCAAGAGGACGAAACGAGTGGGGAGTTTGACTCATCTCACCGGTTTTTTTTGGGGGGGGGGATTTAATAACGGCTTCGAGGGTTAAAGTCGAGCTTGTTACTACTGCTTTTGTGGAACGCGTTCAGGAGTCCTGAGGTATCGCATCCTTCCTACCTCTATCCCGGCCTGTCTGTTTTCTTCCAGCCCTCCAGCCCTACCTCCCGTTCATCTGCCGTCCATCTCTACCTCACCACCTCTCTACTTCTATCCCGCCCGCCCCTTTTCTACCTCCCACCCAACCACCCTCACCACAACAATGGGCGTCTTCTACGAAACCATACCGGAATCCCTCATCCCATGGATCCAAGCCCAACACATGTTCTGCGTGGCCACGGCCCCCCTCTCAAGCGACGGCCACATCAACGTTTCGCCCAAGGGAGGCCAGAACTTTGGCGTCATTGACTAGCGCACGTTTTGGTACATGGATCTGACGGGCAGCGGGGCGGAAACATATGCGCATTTGAATGAGGAGGAGAACGGAAGGATTTGCGTCATGGTAAGTACTGTTCCACTTAGCCCAGTGCATCTATTCAAGTGCACAAGTCGTCGACACGTCAAGAGAAGCTAATGAGTGAGTAGTTCATGGCGTTTACCGGACCCCCCAGGATCGTCCGCCTCTGGGGTACAGGACGCGCACTGGAAAACGGGACTTCAGAATATACGTCCTTTGTGTCGGCGCACAAAGTCGAGACGCAGTTCCACACGCGCAGCATCATTGTCGTGGATATCCACCAGTGCGGCACGTCGTGCGGCTTCTCGGTCCCGTTCTACGACTTTGTCTCGCACCGAGACGTGCTGGACAAGCACTTTGCCAACAAGGAGAAGAAGTATCTGGCGGGCGACGAGGGCGAGAGCATGGAGCGGTACTGGGCGTGGAAGAGCCAGCGCAGCATCGATGGGCTGCCGGCCATGAAGCGCGGCGTCGAGTTTGCTGAGAAAAATGCCATCGCGCCGCTGAAGAAGATGGTCGGGCCGTATGCGCCTGAGAGGAGGGAGGCGAGGCCCGCGAGGCGCGAAACAGAGCCGTTGTATCTGATGCTGGTGCTGCTGCTCGGGATTGTCATGGGCGGGGCTATGGCGCTGAGTGTGGTGTCGCCTGAGAGGGTGCGCGCGCTGCAGGAGAAGGGGAGGGTGGTGGTGTGAGATTGTCTCTGACCCTATCACAGGACGTGGCCTGGGTTGTTAAGTCTCCATGTTGCTGGATTGTTGCGGGGGTTTCCCGTCTTGCTGGGATAGTTAGTCCATCTCTGTGGTGTAAGTAAGTGGTTGTAGGTAATGGGTTCGTTTTCTTGGACGAATATGCCACCGCTGCAGCGTGTCTTTCGAGAAGAGTGCAGTGAGACAGTCGCACCAGCAGGCTGGATGGGAGAGAGCAGTGGCAGGCAGTCGGAGAGGGAGGGGCGTTCCTCATGGCGGTCACGTGCTCCGCCTAGCAGAGAGCGACTGACATTTTTAGACGGCCCGCTGCGTTGGTGGCGGCGCTCAAGACAAGCTTATCCAACGCCCCCAACACAAGCTGCATCCATCGCTCATCCCATCCACGGCTCAGCCCATCCAAAACCCACCGCATCCGCATCCAGGATGGAACGCCTATCCCAAGGGAACCCTCCAACGTCGTGCCGCATTGATAGCCATGGCCGCGTCGGGCAATACGCCGTGGTGCAGGCGCCCCGTACGTTTGCGCGTGACGGGCGTGTGTCGACGTCGAAAACTAAGCAACGCTACTTGCAGTGGGCGGGGCGGGGCTGGAGATATGGTGTGTTGCCGTCACCGTACCCGCAGCGCCTAATACTACCCTGCCCTCGCTTTGGGATACGACTAGCTGGTTACCTCTGTCTCGGGAAGCGGGCGATGGGATCCAGTTACTCGCGCCTCGGCCGGCTCATTGGGCGGTGCTGCGAATAGGCGCGCTGGTGGTCGCACGCTGGTGGCGCGTCGTGCATTACCAGCGACGCGATTCGATTGCCATCGTCGTGGCAGGACGCTTTCCATGGCCATCAATCGACGCACTCGGCTCCGTCGCAGCTGGATATATACCCTCGACCGTTGGGCCCGTTGGTTGTGTCTGCATTCACAGCAACTATGGCGGCTGCTTCTCCACCGCCGGGCGATAAGGAAATTGCCTGGCCAACTGACGTCTGGACGGCCTCCAGGGCCTCAATCAAAACTTAATCTAAGCGGCCTGGCCATGGCCACCTTCTTCCAATCCCCAGCGTTTGCTCTATCACGGCCAACGCTCATGACGCCGCCCATGTGCCCGCTGCTGGCCATGGGTAAGCGCGAGATTCTCGAAACCGCCCTCCCGCACCATTCGGTGCATTGCCAAGACATGGCCTAGTCTGCAGTAAGCTGCAAGCTGCAACCCCATTGTATCAGCGGCGCGGGCTTCTGCTTGTGCTTCCACTTCTGGGTGGGTGCTGACACACTCTCCCGTTCCTTGTTCACGCCATCGCCATCAGCACCGCGGCTCGCCCATCTCGCGCATGCCGACTTTCCCAGTGCCCAGGTCTTGGGGGGACCCAGAGAATATTCCAAAATGCGGCGCCCGACGAACAACAGTGGAGTCCATGGCCCCCCCCTGCGATAGCCAGGCGAATTATAGCGCGGATGGTGTGCTTGGCCAGCTCGGCGGTACTGGCTAAGACCCCAAGCCTCCCGCCATTTTGTCTTGTCCACCGGCCAGAGCGATGGCGAGCGGCCCCGCTCGACGGTTGCTTTCTCGCCCTGTCTTATCCCAGGCGTGCAAGGCTGGCTCCAGCTGGGGGCAGAGATATGGCCCGCTGCCGACGCTGGTTGGACACGGCCCGGCGACGCCCCTCCGCAAGCAGCATGGCGGCTGATATCGCAGCATGGCCCGTCCAGCCATCTGGAGAGGCGTAGTAGCGGCGCTGGGCATTTCTTGGAGGACGTGGTAGCGGGGTAGCCGTCGCCTCAGTTAGGCAGGAGACAAGTCGAAGACATCCAACACTGGGCGCCACCGCACACTGTTATCTTGGACGGGGCAAGCCTTCTTGAGCTACTGCTTGCCAGTGGTGGTTAGCAACTTGGCGAGGCTTGAGCAGACCGAACTGCCTCGGCGATGCGGTGCAAAAACAGCTTCGTCGGCCAGCCATCACGCAAGCGCCAATTTCCCTCTTGGGAGTCCCATCCGTCGAGGCAAATGGCCTTGGGCTCGTGCAACCTCAGGCGGGCATTCCTGAGCTCGACATTGCGCCGCCCATCCCTGCTGCAGCGTGCCCGCCTTCCTGATTGAGCTGCCTCCCTCATGGAGCACGCCGCTGCGCCTATGGTTTGCGTGCTCTGTTAAATACACACGGCCTCGGTCGTGCTCGTCGATTTTTTTTCTCTCCCCAGGGACGTCGACCTCTTTCCTCGCAGCCTCTCCAGAAACCCTCTGTCCGTGGCTTGCTCTTCCGCCTTGTTTTACACTGCCCCGTCAACATGGCTGTTGGTGACGCCGGTGAAGTCGTGCGTACACCCCCTCTAGCAAATCAATTCCATTATACTAACATTCCCCCCAGCAAGCTGTAGGCTTGGACCCTGCCATGGTGGACGCTTCAGGCGACCCCACGCGCGCCCACCCCGAACTTCACACTGCTGGTGCGCCCGCCTACCTTCACTCCGAGGGCAAGGCCACGCTCCAGGAGGCCTACCTCTCAGAGGCAGATGACTTCCCCACCGACGAGGAGCTCGCTACTCTGCCCCGTGTCCCTGCCAAGATCCCGTGGAAAATCTACACTGTAAGACATTGCCCGCGCCCACTGCCCGTGGACAGCCATGCTAACCAACGCTAGATTGCCTTTGTCGAATTGGTCGAGCGTATGAGTTACTATGGCACTATCGCTGTCTACTCCAACTTCATTGCTAAGCCGCTCACCACTCCCACTGGCGCTGCTCTCCACCCCAGCGATGCTGAGGCCCAGCCCGGTGCCCTGAACATGGGCAAGCAGGTTGCCTTCAGTCTGACTACCTTCAACGCCTTCTGGGTCTACGTCTGCCCGCTGTTTGGTGCCTGGATTGCCGACACGTACCTGGGTCGCTTCAAGACGATTCTCTACTCGGTCCTTGTTGCTGAAATCGGTCACCTTATCCTCGTCGCCTCGGCTGCTCCCTCGGTCATCAAGCACTCCAACACTTCGCTCGGTGTCTTCATTCTCGGTCTCATCATCATGGGTCTGGGAACTGGAACATTCAAGCCCAACATTGCGCCCCTCATTGCCGAGCAGGTTCCTCAGGAGAAGATGCGTGTCGAGACCCGCGGCACCAAGCGCGTCATTGTCGACCCGGCCGTCACCACCACCCGCATTTACAACTGGTTCTACTTCTTCATCAACATTGGTGCCCTCGTCGGCCAGATCAGCATGGTTTACGCTGAAAGATACGTGGGCTTTTGGCTCGCGTACCTGATTCCCACCGTCATGTTCGTCATTGCGCTGCCCGTGCTCATCTTCTGCAAGAAGTTCTACATTCTCCGCCCCCCGAGCGGCAACGTCATGGGCCCTGCGTTCAAGCTCCTGTTCAAGGCTCTTGGGAACGGCATGAGCGTCAACCCCGTCAAGACGTGGAAGAACTGGAACTCGGGCACCATGTGGGACTCTGTCAAGCCGTCCACCCTGGGTGCCAACAAGCCCAGCTGGTACAACTTTGACGACGCCTGGGTCAGCGAGGTTGCCCGTGGTTTCGGCGCTTGCTCCGTCTTCTTCTGGGTGCCCATCTTCTGGCTGGCCTACCGTCAGATGGACTCCAACCTGACTCAGATGTGCGCCACCATGAAGCTCGGTGGTGTCCCCAACGACATTCTGTCCAACCTTGACCCCATTGCTATTATCATCATTGTAAGTTTCTCGCCTTCTAACACGTCAATTCTTGCTAACCGTCTCAGGTGCCCATCATGGACAGTGTCTTCTACCCCTTCCTCCGCAAGCGCGGCATCCGCTTCACCCCCATCAAGAAGATCACCGCTGGTTTCATCCTCGGTGCCTTTGCCATGGTCTGGGCCGCCGTCCTCCAGCACTACATCTACAAGACCTCTGGCTACTACGAGACCCACGACCCCGACTACAAGACGGACATTTCCGTCTGGGCCGTTACCGGAGTCTACGTCCTGATTGCCATTTCTGAGATCTTCGCCTCGGTCACCACCCTCGAGTACGCCTTCACCAAGGCGCCCAAGAACATGCGTTCGCTCGTCCAATCCGTTCAGCTCTTCACCACGGCCTTTTCCGCTGCCCTCGCCCAGGCCTTCACCCCGCTCACCGCCGACCCCCACATCACGTGGAACTACGGCAGTGTCGCCATCATCTCCTTCGCCACCGGTATCATGTTCCACTTTGTATACCGCAGCATGGACAAGCAGGAAGACGCCCTCAACTTGCTTCCTACCGGTCACATTGGCACCGAGGAGCAAGCCGCCGATCTCGAGCACCGCCAGAGCATCAACGAGGAGCGTCGTGCTGCTGCTACTACTACTACTACTGCGCATGCTGAGAAGATGTAAAGTTGTGTGATTGTGTTTGCATTGCATATACTTTGTGTTGTCGCGAAATGACGATATATACCCCACCCCTTTTGTCATTGTTGTTGTCATGGTCATGTGTGGATGAATTGTGTTGGAAGTGGATAATTAATGACGAATGATTTTGAATATCAAAAAAAAATTTCCACATCTGTCTAAACTTGACTTGTGTGTGTGTGTGTGTGTGTGTGTTTCATCCCATGGTTTTGATGTGCAAATGTTTGTGCTGATTGTTGCGGTGTTGTGGGTGAGCATGTCGTTCGTGCTATGTATCTTGATTTGGTCCATGGGCTGCTGGTACTTGTACATGACGCAGGTAGATGTGTGCTGGATGACTTGTATTGCTATTCTATTCTATTCGAGTCCTAGCTTGTTGATCTATCTATCTATCTATCTATCTGTCTGTTTACCTGTCTGTTTACCTGTCTGTCTGTCTGTTTACCTGTCTATTAATCGTAATCGATATATACACAAATAACCCATTGTCCTTTCTTCTTCTTCTTACATCTTATCTTTCTTCCTCCCTTTTGTTTCGGTTTGGAGTTTTCTAGAATGGTTCACATACGTACATATCTACATATGCTCTTTTGTATGCATGTATGTATGTATATATGTATACATGTATGTATGCGTGTAATTCACGTGCGTGCGGTATATACATACATCTAAGTAGTGGAACAAAAAAAAAACACACACACACACACACACACACACACACAAACAACATTTATTCCAACTAGTTACAGTAAATAACGTAATTTCTTCTTATACTTGCCACACACATTCCCGACTTAAATACACATGCGTCAATCCCCCCTTAATTACTAGCCGTGCATTGTATCTACCTACCTCGTGGCCATGACCTCCTCCAACCACGGATACACAGTCGCATTCGCCTCAGGGTACCCCATATGCGGACGACCAGTTACAAAGCGCATTTCCTTGGGCCGCCCGTATTCCGCTAGTAACATGCTATCTTCGACGGGCATGCAGCCGTCCAGCACGCCGTTGATCAGCAAGAGCCTGCAACTCTGCAGGCCCATGGCGACGACAGGCACGCCGGGCTGTGTGGAAGAAATGAGACTGAAGTCGTCCTGGCATTTTTCCTGCAGCTCGGAAAAGGAGGCGTAGCCGTATTTCTGCGTGTAGGCGACTTCGAGACCGAAGGGGTACTCGTGCTTGGCGAGCTGCGAGAGCCACTCGCGCCCAATGTAGTGGTGTGTTCCCGCGCCGTGGCCTACGCTGCCGAGGAGCTGCGTGGCGTGTGTGTGCGCGGCGCGGATGGCATAGTAGCCGCCTGCGCTGAGGCCCCATGCAATCACCTTGGCGGCGTCGAGAGAAGGCGTGTCGGCGATCCACGCGAGGATGCTGCTGAAGAGGCGGTCCGGAGAGAGTGCATCGCGCTTGTTGGCTGGACAATCGACCGTCGTGCCGGGGATGTCGCAGATGACGGTTGCCCAGCCGCGGTTGACGTGTTCCTGGGTGCGCTCCGTGTTGTCTGGGCGGTGGCCGTCGAGGCCTGTCATGAGGAGAATGGTGGGGAACGGGCCTGGGCCAGCGGGTTTCCGCATGTACAGCGGGATTTTGTCGCCGTCGCCGTTGGACGCGTGCGTGTGGGGAACTATGACTTCCTCGATGGGCTGCTCCCAGAGCTGCGCACCCTGGAGATAGACCTTCTTTTGCTCCTCAAAGGCTTTCTTCTTGAGATCCGTGCTAATGTAGGGAAAGCGGGCGAGTCGGTAGACGGCATTGGCGTTGAGATATAGCTTCTTTGCGGCTTCCTTGTCCTTGCTCTCCATGTCCTCTGCCTCTTTGGCGAGCCGCTGGGCGGTTGGTAGAAAGGCATTCGTGTATGCGTCGTCATATGGATCGTTGATGTTGTTGTCGATGAGGTGCTGGAAAATGGATTCAAAGTCTTGGAATTTGCCGTCGTGAAACGGATAGACGCCTTTGGTGCAGGGAAATTTCCAGCGTTGCTCCCATAGTTTCTGTATACTGCCGCGGTGGCCGTACTCTTTGGTGAAGAGGTCACCGAGAATCCAGTTTCCGTCTGGCATAATGTGTATTGTGTGATAGGCTGAAAAGCAGAATGACGCAGTAGTACCACAAAGTTGCGTGTAGTCATGACCGTTGTATATACTACCGTTTTCGGAATTAGTGGGGCCGAGTTGGATCAACACGGTCCGGACGGGCCCCCAAACGGGTTCGCAGATGCCCTGCAGAAAGTCTTGGACGTTACAAGTCACTATAGTCTAGTGTGGGGTGGAAGGTCCCTGGCATTCTAGACCGTCCCAGTCTATTGAATATCTTCATCCCCCTCTTCAGCCTTGCGCTGCACATACTCCCTCAACACCTGTACAAGCTTTGCTCTACCGTCCTTCCTCTCGAATACTTGTGCATGGTCCGCTGTAGGCCACCACAACGTCTCTATGCCGTGTCCCTTCCAGTCAAAGTCTTTCCAGCTGCGATCCTCCCCTTTGAGGTCTGCATTGTGCAGGTACTTCGCTACTGTCTCACTGTCGACAATGAGATCACGGCCGCTGAGGCTTACAGTCACGTCGCGGCCCCGCAAGTCCTCTTTCCAGAGAATGTTCTGCGCCCAGAAGAAGTGGCGCGCTAGTGTATATGCAACCATCATGTCGGTTGACGCAAAGTAGTATAGCTGATGCTCATTGGCTGTGCGGGGCTGACGTGCTGTGAAGTTGTATGCGACGTCCGGGAGGTGCAGAAGGAATGTGACTGGGTCAATGAGGACCATGGGGCCAATCTTTGCGGCCGTGGCCGGGTTCTGGATAAGGTGAGTGGATATCACGGACCCATACGAGTGGCTGGCCAGAACGACTTTGTCGAAGCCATGGCGCTCGAGGATCATGTTGATCTGGCGGCACATTTCGTCTCTGCTGGGCATGGGTTCGGCGATGCGGAAGCTAACGGGCATAATCTCGATTGCAATGACGCCCACTTGACCGTCGTGCGGGGCCAGAGGATCGTGCTTGTTGATCTCCTTGAGGAACTCGACATATGGGTGCAGCCCGATGCCAATCCCATGTATGAAGAGCACGGGCAGGCGCGTCGACGATGTATGGGGCCTGTACCAGTAGCTCAGGCTTGAGGCGACTGAGAGGTTGCGTGTAGTCAGGCTGGCGAGGCGCGGCGGAAATATGGCCAGCGCGGAGCGCATGTGGGTGCGAAAGAGCATGAAGCCGGCGCAGCGCAGGCGAATGGCGGTGATGCTATCTACCAGCATTACAATCTGACACGGTCAGCATTGCATCCATGTACCAGGCAGCACACATACCATATACCACAAAAAGGGCCGGTGCGCCATGTTGACCTGGTCAATGGTCGGGCGCAGGCTCTTTGCACTCCCCATGCCGGGCATCAACTTCCTCCCCAGCATCGTCTCTATCCCGTCGGCATATTCGTTCAGCTCGTCGTCCTCTGCCTGGCTCTGTTCGGGATGTGCCAGTCTCCTCTTCATACGCTCATCATCGCTTTCGCTGCCGCGATTCAACAACGCCCACGCGAAGAAGTCGCGCACATTCTCGCGCCGCACCTCGCCAGGCCGCGCGCCCAGGAACCATCTGCTGACATAGTACTCGGGGTGGGGGATCTTGTCCCAGCACCGCCAGAACAGCTCTTTTCTCTCCTCGTGGGGGAGGGGCGGGGGATGTTGCGCCGAGGCCTGCAGCGAGCGCTTGCGGGGCACGTAGACCAGCAGCCAAAAGGCCGTCTCGACGGAGCTCCACACGAGCAGAAAGCGGCGGAAGGCGTTGTGAGGGGGCTCGGCGATGCTGAAAGACACCCAGAAGATGCTAAAGGGCGTAATGGCGCGCAGGCCCAAGATGCACGTCTGGATGAACAGGTACTTTGGGATCGTGTGGTCGATCATGATGGCAGCAGGCGTGTGGTTCTGGTGTCTGCTCGCAAATCATCCGCGGTCCCGCGCGAAGACGACGTCGAGGCGTGAAGTGTCGCCTACATGGTGGCTGTTGCAGTAAGGAACCGACGGGGGCTGCGCCGCCGAAAACCCCGATGACGCAGCTGCCGCGACGACTCTTGTTAGTCAGCATCACTTGGCTACTTGACCACTTCACCCACTTCACCCACTTCACCCATCACAGTCCCTGCAGCCAGCACTTCATCGTCCAGAGCACCAAACCATGTATTCCAATTAGACTAAGCCAACGCCCTCAGTGTACGCCACCTCGCCCGTCTACCCTCTGCAAGGCCGCATAGCTCCTCCCCGCTACACCTAGCCCACCAACCCCGATGCAACGCTAAGCCCCCTGCTCCGAAGAGTCCTCGGATTCACCGTGTGACCCATCGCCACCACGTGAACCACGACCAGCCGCGCCATTACTCAGTCCTCCCCTGTTGCTGCCGTTGGTAGTGTGTCCTCCACGCGTGGTGGCGGTGGAGCCCCGACCGCCCGACTGCTTCGCAGGCACAGCTGGAACAGACGGAAGAGAAGGACGACCGCCTCGACTACGCGTGGGCGGCTTTGGTTGTGCCTTTTTAACAGCTCGCGCCTCTGCATCCTTCTCGCGCCTCAGGTTTGCCTTTGCTTGAGCAATGCAAAGGCAGTGTGCCGTGATGTGCTCCTCACCAGGCTCCAGTTCGCACTCGTTCTCCTCGCACTCGTCGCAGTGAAGGTCTTTTGCTGTACAGGCTGCCTTCATATGTCCCGCCTTGCCGCATCTCCAACAGTACTCTGCGACGCCTCCGATGGGCGTAAAGTTGGCGACGCTGTACTCCTCGAGATCTTCAGCTACTTCTACCATGGGCTTTGCGTGGCGTGTGCATGCATGCCCGTGGAGCGCTATCTGAAAGGCGGCGATCAGAGTGCGACCCGCGTCGTTAGCCGCAGTGTGGGGATCACTATGCTCGAACCACAGATGACCGACGAGTTGCCGCAATCCGATTTGCTCGTTGTGCTTACCAATCCAGAACATCTTGTCGCGCGCAAGTACCTGTGTGTCGATGTACCGGATCACCGTGCCAATCGGATCCATGTCGAACGCTATCGCTTTGTGCTTGAGGTTGTTCTTGTCGTGGCCGACATCGTGGCCCAGGACCACGATGGGATGGTTTCCTGTCAAACCGGGAACGTCCTTGATGGGCTGCACAAACAAATCGTGCATGATCTGGCGTGCTTCCGCGAAGGTGACAAAGCGCCCTTGGCCAAACCGATTGCCGTCTACTCCACGCGAGTGTGGGTTTCCGTTTGGGAGGTGTGATGTCTCGATCAAGCGCAACAGGTAGAACTTGACCTGCTGCATCAGACGCTCACCACGGGGACCCAAGTCGCCCTTTTCCCTAAGCCGTAATATGTCTTGCTGTCTAAATGTTGCGATGCCAACCTCCGTCGTCTCATCCGTGTTGTTCGACCAATGCTCACAATCCAAGCACACCAAAATAATGTGCCTCGCTGCCTCCTCCGCAAAATCAGGAATATCGGGGATGCGGTTACCTCCAATGCAATGGTGAAAGACGTCAAGGTCTGTTGCTTTCTTGAAGCAACCTTCGAGGGCGATGATGATACGGTCCCGTTTATCCTGGACAGGAGCTGGAGCGGGCGCTGGAGCGGGCGCCGGTGCTGGTGCTGGTGCTGCAGCTGGAGTGGGAGCTGGTACTGCAACTGGAGTGGGGGCAGGAGTACGAGTACGAGCTCGAGCTGGCGTACGAGCTGGCGTACGAGCTGGCGTACGAGCTGGCGTACGATCTGGGGCTGGAGCTGGAATTGCCAGCAGAAAAGGCATGTATTCAAGATTATCAGACATATTGCATAATATAAAATCTGCGGCAGGTTTAGATTCGTCTCGAAAACAGCCGACAAAAGGAGAGCAGGATATGATGCGCCGGTATACTGACCGAGTAGATCTCTCTATGCAAAATCTGTTGCGAATGTTAGATTCGTCCAAGAAAGAGAGTTGCATATCATCCCGTCGTTATACTGACCTGGACCTAGCTTGCAAATTGGGTTGGAGAAAAGGCAACTGGAACTGAGAAGCTTTTTCAAAGGTCAGCGTAAGAATATGAGCAAATAACGTTGGCAGGTTCTAGAAAAAAGTGAAGACCAAATCGGTTAAGCAAACGCAAGCCCGCAGCGCAGGGTGATGGTGAAGGTGAAAGCTCAAGCGTCTGCGGATGTCCAGGAGCGGAAGCAATCAGCTGGGGCTACCAACAGGTGATTCGGACAGAAAAGAGGTATAAGACTTACGGGTTTGGAGTGACACAGTATTGGCCTCCAGGGTCTCTGCTCCTCTGCTCCATGAGCGGGCCTTCGTTCCTTTTATACTGCGCTCCCCTTGGCAATGAAGCGGCCTCAAGGCACCAGCTCCAAATCCTCTAGGACAATACCACGGTACTTGGCAATTTTTATTCGCAATTCCAACATAGCGGTAGGATTTCCAGAGTCGCAATTGCCAGGAACAACCCTACACAGAATGTTACGCGCGAGTTGGATGCCACAATATGATGGAAACGATGAGTAATAGTGCCTACGAACATGAAATTCAATCGGTGCTTTATCAAATACGCGAAGAACCAGCTGCTATTTCATAGACAGTCGGGCTTGCTTCCCTTGGAGAAGAGACCAGCAACCAACGCCCAACCCACGGGGAGTGACTACCATGAAAGCACCAATTGGCTCTTGGGTTTGCGTGTGGAAATCGACCAGACAATTCCGAATGCCCGCTCATATCCTACTCCGCTTGAAATCGCCATGAAGCACACCAGATGCACAAGTCTACGAGATGATCAAGACTGATTCGTGGGAGCAGTCGAATAAATGCCTTTTGGAGACATACATGTCAGAGGGAATCAATCACACGAGGCCATTAAAGACAAAATCCAGCCACGTTCAAGAATGTTGCAAACGTGGAGCTCTATGTACAATATAGGTAGAGGATACCAAGATATGACCCTAGCTGACTTTTCGGCCATGGGTGATAGGCTGCACCGACGCGAGGGAACCGAGTATCCCCCACAACACAAAATAATTCCAGGAGATGGATTTTTGAATCCAGCGCGAAAAGAACTTGCGGTGTAGGTTCACAGAGTGCCAGGAAGTTACGCTTTCTCGCCCACTGCGCTCGTTATGCGTGTGGCGATCACGTTCCATTCACTACGCGAACTTCCTGATGTCTCTGAGCATTCACAACGATCACACGATGCCCCTGATGGATACATATGCATTTTCTCCCGGCCTATTCATTGAGTACCATCGATTCATGCAACCGGAAATAGGTGGTTGAATTCAATCGCAGTCATCCGATAACTTCTTCGGCAAGATCACCAGCTTCCTCTATCCTTGGTGGGACCAGCAGCACAACATGGACCTGCTCCGCTCAATCAAATCATACGCTAGAGGCTTGAAAGAGAACTCGGAAAAGAAGAAGAACAAGTTCACACCAAAAAAGGGGGGTTCGGTGTTAAATCAAAATGGCCCCGTGTGGTTGGATGAGGACTCAAACGTTTTCCCCATGCCACCGCCTTCGGTACGTATGCAGGAAGTCGCCCAATTCTTCAACAGGATGAGTCATACAGACATCCTCGAATACTGTCTAGGGTTCGACAAGCCCAACGCACCAGCGCTCGCCGAGCACGTCTTACTCATTGCACTGGAATGCGATCACTTGCGTCAAGAGCCGTACTACCTGCTAGATATCGGCGCGCACACTGTCAAACGCAAAGATGCGCAGAGCTTGATTGAAGAACCCGGTGCACACAGCCTCAACATCCTTCGCAACATCTCATACCACCACATATGCGTCAAGGACAATGCACGTTATGTGAATCGGCTGGGCCGTGCCTCGCACTCCGAGTTCACCCGCTTCGGCCGTACTCGTTACGTTGAGGTGTCAGAAATCAAGGAGATACTGGAGGACTTGCTGCACCAGCCCATCGATGACATTTTGCCGGATATCAAGAACAGCCCTGCAGCCGCTGCATATCCAGCGCCTGGTCCCCGTCCCATTGTCATCCTCAACGCAGATGACTCGCAGCAGCAGCTACTAGCCCGTACTTTCCAGACGGAGCCTTTGGTCTGGGAGAACGTCGTAGCGACCATCAACACGCGCCAAATCGCCCGCGAGAAAGCCCTCGAGTGGCGCGGCCAAGATTCCTCGTTGCGCCAGCTACTCAACACTTTCGGCATCGAGTGCCCCTTTGGATGCAGTTCTTCCGATTCCCTTGCGTATGCGCTCATTGCGGCTGTGCAGATGGTGATGCGGCCCAAGATGCTACTTGCGAGAGAGACTATGCGGTCGGTTGTCAATGTCGTGATGCTGCACAGTCAGTGCCATGTTCCCGAGTGGGGCAACGAGCTCTACTGTACGTGCTGTGGATCAGAACAGCATCGACGTACACGGTGTGTGAAGCTGATGGTTGCAAGGGGGTGCTACAAGTGTAGGAAGGCAAGGAGGTTTGGCTTGGAGGTGGGCCATGTCGCTGACATGTGCCCCTGGGACTAGGCTGAGCCTTGGTCAGTGACAGTTGGTGGCTGAGGATATTCTGTTTTTCAAATACAAACGAATAGAATAGTCTATATGAACAAACTGCAATCATAATCATCATGTCTGCACATGTCCAGTATCAATTGTGTGTGGCCTTGGTGGGCTGAGACGCTGCATGTTCGGGATGAGGTCATGGCTACCGAGCCACGTGTGGCGGCTGAAACCGCCCGCCCTCCCCTTCCGCTCTGTCACACATGTCACCTACCCTCTACCATTTTTTTCACGCTCGCCACAACCCAGTAACCCCCGAACCCATTCAGAGACGGCTCGAATTCCCTTGGATGTTCCTATCGCGCTGGCTGTAGGTTAGCGGCTCCACACGTAGTCTTTCCCCGCATCCCACCTAGTCAGGCCATCTCCACGTGTTCGCGGCTTGAATCCTCCAAGTACCGCTCTGCTACACGCCCTTGACTCTCCCCAGCATTGATTCCACACCAATGTCAGGCAATTTGACTAACGGCGACAGCGGAGGCGCTACCGCTCCCTGCGATCGGTTGAGTAACTTGCCCGATGAACTGCTGCTCCACATCTTCGAGGCGGTTGGCCACAATGCCAGGCGCGACCTCTGCAACGTGTCGCGCGTCAACAAGAAATGCCACCGCCTGAGTGACGCCGTCCTGTACAAGAGCATTCTTTTCGAGACGCCCGAATTCCATCTTACCTTTAGCGAGTCGCTGAGCCGCCGCCCGCGTCGTGGCTCTGCCATTGTCGAAGTCAAGCTCGCCTATCCCTCCTCGGAGCTATCAGAGCTGGCTCTCGATGCGCCAGTCCATGGCTCGTATCTCGACCCCAAGCGCTCAGACAGCCTTTCGCGAACCCTGTCCATCATGTCAAATTTGGAAAAGTTGGATATTTCCGTACCAGACGTGCTGCTGCATGGCATCGGTACCCTGTTCAACGGCCCCTTCGATCTCACCTGCTTGAAGACGTGCTCGTTATTCTACCAATGCGCCAACGATGCATACTGGGACCTCCGCGAAAACATACACATTTTTGCGCACCCGACTCTTGAGTCTCTGACTATCCGACGAGCCAAGCTAGACGAGAAGGGCTTTGACCACATTGAGCGGCCCCACCAGACAGCCCTGAAGCAACTTCATCTGATCGAGTGCGATATCAACGATGATTCCCTTGGAGATCTCCTTGAACTGCCTGAGGCACTGGAAGAGTTTGTTATGACGCAGACCGAAGAGCCAGAGCCCGAGTTGGAGGAGAGTTCGGACAATGTTGGCGACTACATTCTGGCCGCACAATCGCAAGCCGAGTTTTTGAAGGGTATCACCATCGACCACCCAACACTTACTGGACGCAAGGTACTACGAATGAGAGATTTTGCCGCACTAAAGACCTTGCGCCTAAACTGGGACTACCAACTCTTTGGCAAATCGTCCAAGAAACCGCGTCTTCACTCAGTCGGACTGCCGCCACTCATGGAGACACTGGAGTTTTTCAACGAGCTAGGAAGCGATGCCGAAGTAACGGATCTCCTGCTGGCGACCATTGAGCAGAAAGATATTGTTGCTAGGAATTGGAAGAAGATGGTAGTAGTCGAGGGTGACGACGGAGTGTCGAGAGAGATCAAGGATGCGTGCAAGGGAGCGGGGCTCCAATTAGACATTATCGGGGCATTGGACGAAGAATCCGAGGATGAATCTGATGGAGACGAGGAATCAAATGGGGAAGATGGATCAGATGAGGATGATGAATCGGATGAGGACAGCGAATAGGCTGGATGAAGATTTCGGACCAAGACATGACGTGTCGCCAAAGATGCAAGGCTACGAAAAGCAAAACCTGATACCCCGGACGCGAACAAAAGCAACACGAGTAGAAAACTCCGAGGCAACAACGAGAATGACAGCTCGGCATACGCATACCTGGTAAATACCTTTGAAGCCACGTAACTCGATGATGACGAACGAGCGTAAGCGACAAACGTCGGCGGGGGACTTTTGTCACAGGCCAGGCCCCAACGAGTCTATGGGTCTTTACAAGGGAGACAAGTCTCACACTTGGATTGTTACAGGCGATACAACACGACAAATTCCCCACCGCCAAACACCTTGTCATCTCACATGCTCCACACAGCAGCTCGTCAGCACTCTCACACACCCCAATAACCAGCCTTTCAACCCATTCCTTTGCCACGCTCGTCCCTAGACTATTAGATCAGGCGACATAAAAATCGCCGTTTAGAACACAGATAGATGATCGCTAGTGCTTCCTCACACACACACATCCATCCATCCATCCCATCCATCCCATCCATTCATAGCAAAAACACACAGTATACAAATCACAAACAAACAATAAAGATACCCAGATACGGATACCTAGTCTCGCATCGTGCGTCTTTCAGCATCTGGACATACTCACATAATAACGATAATACATACTACCGCAGAACAAGTGTATACCGTCCCCTGACCACAATCACACCCTTGTTCTTCTTACCCATCCCCTTCCCCCTTCGTCCCACTCTTCTCACATGACTTCCTCCCACATCCTCCTTCTTCTTCTTCTTGTTCTTCTTGTGCGTCTTGCTCGACTCCGTCTTCGCTTTCCCGTCTTTCCACCCGGCTATGTACATCCACATGTGGCGTAGCAGACACAGCAGTACCATGGCGATGCTGTCGGCTTTGAGCTTCACGTGCGTTGAGGGTATGTAGGAGAATGTGGGGAGGGGGAGGGGGAGGGGGATGGTGAGGAAGGGTGAGGTGGTTGTGGTTGTTGTGATTGGTGGTGGTGGTTGTGCATCCATTTTTGGGGGTTTCTCTGGGATTGAATGGATTGGATGGATGGATGGAGTGCGGTGGGTCTTTTGCTGTGGAGAAGATGTGTCTATTGGAAAGATGGATCAAGGCATGCAAGATATGATATACCAAATCAATCGTGAATTTTACAGCGAGATGTACTTTTCCCACACTTGTGCGTTACTCGTTGCTGAGCTGGTCGCGATATATTTGGGCTGCTGGGTTCACATGTCTGAGACAAGTATACTGTGTCTGTCTGTGTGTACAATGAAGATTCCCTTTCAGTCACGCTGCGCGCGACGTCGAACACGTGGAATATACCAGCAACTACCCCTCCGCCCCCGTGATGATGCCTTTGCATTCATACTTCGACATGTCCTTGGCATGCCCTTTGTTCGATTCCAGGATCAGGTCTGCGCCAATCCTCCTCCTCCGATCCTGGCCTGATCTTCTTACAATTCTGTCTCACACCTCCTGTAATCCTTGTTCCAAACATACACTACCGCGTCGCACACGCCAACGGCACTGTCGGGTAGTTGAACTCTCCCGGGTGCAGAGTATGGATCCTGGTGCGCATCATGTCGATGGCATACTCGACGTCCGGGAGCCGGATGACGAAATCGCCGTGAATCAAGTCCGCACTAACGACCTCTAGTTGTATCCAAGCTGTCAGTCCCTTGCCTCTCTACACAAACAATCGATTGAAACCAACAACAAACGCACCATGGTCCAAAGCAAGACAGTTCCTCATGATGATATGCTCGAAAATGCGGTCAACGCCCTCAACTCGGTACCGCGAGCGCGTCATCTCAGCGAGACACAGCAGCCTGGACAGCAGCTCGGAGCCCCAGTTACGCGGATCCGGATCTGGCAGCAAGTTGACGGGGAACGGCGTCGCGGGCGACATGACGTCCCAGTACCTGATGATGCGGCAGTAGAGAGACATCACGTGATATCTGTTGCAGCGCGATAGCCGCGAAAAGAGAATGTAGGGCGGCTTCTCGTCGAGGTAGTAGCGACAGCAGGGTGAAGGTATTTCCCTGTCGAGGGGCGGTGACGCTTCTCGACGAGGTGTTGATACTTCTTGACGAGGGGGTGATGCTTCTCTATGGCGTGAATAGCCATCAAGTACCAAGGGGCCCATGAGGAAAGCTGGCTGGTCGTTGGTGACGGTGGGCGGGTTTGCTGGCGCTTCTTCACGGCGTCGTGAGTAGCCTTCAAGCACCAGCGGGCCCATCACACGGCCGGCGAAGGGAACTGGCTCGCCGCCATTGGCATCTATGAGATCCATGTTAGAAGTGCTCTTGAGGAAACACCAATTGGTCCCTGGTGTGAGGCTGGTTCCGTCGCGGTTCTGGCTGAGAGGTTCGATTCGAAGGCGTCTTGGTGCGGGGCAGAGAGGATACGGAGAGGAGAAGAAGACGGCCAGGCGGGAGATTTCGTTTTGAGTTTTGTCGTGTGGGGTGGCGCTGGCCTTCACCGAGAACAAGTGGTGAAAGCTGCTTGTGTGGCCTCAGATTTCCCCTTCACTTGTGGGGGTGCAAACGCCAGGCTTGGTTGCCATGGGAAATTTGTGGGGACAAATGGTAGCTTGAGGACTTGATGGTGCTGAAGATGGGGATATCATGTTGTCGATGTAATGGGGTTGAAGTGGATTGAGAGGTTGGCTCGATTGAATGCATCCAGGCATGTCTCATTTGTATCTTGCACGCTTGGAATCTGCGTTGGAGTAGAGAGCGCTTGCGGGTAGTTCGACTGGTGTGCTCTCCTCAAATGTCGGCTGCAATACGTCAGCACTGTTTTCAAGTCTTTACACTGAATAAACAAACCACTACAGCGTATCCATCCAACTGCTGTGGAGCCTGAGGAACAGGCCTACCACTCCCCTGTAGTTCCATAGGCCCATCGTAGTGCTGTTGCACAAGAGGCTCCTGGGGATATTGAGGCACTGTCGGATTGCTTTGCGGGTCGGCTGGCACAGTATAATAGCGTCCAATAAATGGGCTGTACTCTTCCTGCAGCTTGCGTACGGCCTTTGCACGTCGCCGTTGCTGTCTGCACATGACGCAAAAAACAATGGCGCAGAAGGCGCCGCATACGACTATGATACTCAGAGTGATTATGGCACTGATTGCCGATGTGCTTAGTTCGTCGCGGTGGGAAAGGGGCGCCATGGTGTAGGGCACGTCTTGGAGCTGGTCTCGAAATGTCACGGAAAGCGGTTGTGTGTAGGACTGGCTGCACAAGACGCTGCTGGGGATTATTTAAATTTGTTATTTGGCGCTGAATCGCGTTCCAGCCAAGACACTGGCATGGGAAGGCCATCGAGGCGTGTTGATACGCGCATAGTTGGGGGCCAAATCTGCATCCCACTGCCAGGCTGATTAGCCGCTATCTATTCTTGGGCGCTTGAGTGGCTGGCCTGAAAAAGGCGTACGAGGTCGCAAAGCCTGAAGACATGTGTTGGACTAAAAAGAAAGAGTATGACGACGAGAGCTGTATGCCCACGTGGTGGTGGAGTGCTAGTCCGCAAAAAGGAGTCAGCCCACGTGATGCGGATGCGCACGTCCTGCATGCACATGTGCAGTGTCAACGATGCAGGGAGGATAGCAGCGCAGACGCTCCTTTCACCGTGCATGTGGCTTGCGCTGGGATGGTATATAAAACAGCCACGACTGCAACGATAGGCACTGGAGGGACGACATGTGCAGTGGCTGTTGGTGGCGGACGAAAGCCCCAAGGATGCTTTGCGTTAGCGCCGGCGAATGACGCGCGATTCGGCCCAAATGAACATGACGTATGGCATGCGGTCGCTCGTCCGCCGATCTAGGGAGAGGGCATTGCATATTCGATGCCTGGAATCCCACGACTCTCTTCCTCTTCTTCACGTCGGGACTGGCGATGCTGTGACAACACCTGCGAGCCCCCCCCCTATTAATGCGCTAGGCTCGGTTACAAATCCCCCCAGCACAGTTGGACCGCGGCTGCGCGCAAACGCTGCACCACCCCACCCCAACGCATTTTGGTATCATTATCGCGCCCTTTCACTGTAGATTAACCTATCGCGTTGCGCGCAAAGTCTACGCCAGCCGCCGGTTGTGCGACACCATCTCCCGTCTGTTGTCACCCCCAGCTTGGAGTATGCCCCCGCCGTATCGACACTTGAGAAGACGTCAGAACGGTGAGAAGCAAAATGGATGAAGACTTGCGCATGCTCGAGGTATGTGCTGGAGGGAGTCCAAGGGATGCGCTCCCCAGCTGACAGCGACGCGCCACACAGGAGGAATTTTGTCCGCCCATAGACCCTACGCTGCTTTATACCATCTACTCAGACTTTGCAGGAGAAGCAGATGCTGTCGCCCGCACCAGAGAGCTGCTAGAGCCTCTCAAGGCCACCGCCGAGGTGGAAGCGCTCACAAACTTTGATCCGTCGGGAAGCAGTGGAGGCGCCGTGCAAGAGAGTCCAGACAAACAGAGCACCGACACGGATTCGTGGGGCACCCAGACGGTAACGACAGAGCACTCGTCTCTTTCAAACGACTTCTCTGCGCTGAGTATCAGTGGACGCTCTGGAAGCCCAGGAGAAACCTTTAGGCATGGATACTATAAAGACACGGAAACGTTTGACATTCCTACTAAAGAACTGTTGCTCGCCGAGACATTTCCAAGCCTTCGCCCAGCGCAGGTGACGCACACCCTGAAGAAGTGCGGGTACGACTACGACAAAGCGACCGACGAGCTGCTGAACCACGTCTTCTTTGACGATAGTCGCAAGAGCCCTACAGACGAAGGGCCCATTGCTAAGGGCATCGATGCTTTTGCCGAAGACCATCATGTGCCGCAGAGGGGGAAGAAGGGCAAGGCGAAGAAAAAGCAAAGGGTGTCTCTGAACGACATCAGCACCGACTACTTTGTCGAGTCAGAGGCGCCCGCGAACCGTTGGCAGAACACCAGTCGCGATGTCGACTTTGTCACGTCGCGAACGGCTGTGCCTGCCAAGACGGTGTCCTCGCTGTATCATGCAAACGGGGCATCGCTGTCTGCGACAGTACTAGCCGTTGTGCAAAGGGACATTGAAGCGCATAGGAAGGACGGGCAGCCAGACGCTGCGCTGGTGCAAGATGCTCTTGACTTGAACGAGAGATTCCCTTCGATTGACCTGGAACACGCCATCGCCGTCGTCCGGTTTACTGCGCCGTCCAACATCAAGGCTCAAGAGCTCGCAAAATTCCTGACCCAACGGCCGCCGAGTGAGACGGGTGGTAAAGGCGGGCTCAAGCTTGACCTGCGATACGCGCCTGTCAACGTGTCCGATCCATGTGAAGCTACGCAACTGCCTGCGCTTGCACCCTCTGCCAAGCCTCGCGACGTCTTGTCCATGACAGCTGCTAGGAATGATGCGTTTGGAAAGGCAGCTAGCGCCTACCGCAGGGGAAAGTCGACAGCGCTGATGAGGCAAGCAGCCGCCTACTATGCACAGGAGGGCCGTGACCTCAATGCCAACCTGAAAGCCATGAATGCAGCCGAAGCCGATGCCTTGGTGTCATCGCAGTCCGGAGCAACACATCTGGACCTGCACGGCGTCAGCGTGGCCGACGCAACTAGGATCGCGAAGCAACGCACACAGGCGTGGTGGGATGGGCTTGGAGAGCGTAGGATTCCCGAGTGGAGCGGCCCCGGCCGCAGGGGTGGAGGCGAGGTGTTCAGAATCATCACCGGCCTGGGCAGGCACAGTGAAGGTGGCCGGGGTAAGCTGGGACCTGCGGTGCTCAAGGCATTGGTGAACGAGGGCTGGAAGGTCGAGGCGGAGCCCGGCGAGCTCTATGTCACTGGGCTTGCGCGGCGAAGGTGATGGTGTGATTGGTCTTGGATAGCCACGCCGAGCATTTGGATATGTCTGTGTCAATGTCGTTTCAATATGCCCAGACTTATTGACAAAGCATAGTTGTCCATGAAGAATGACATGAACGGAAACTCATGCAATGGTCTTGGCGTTGGGAGCCGCTAAGCCTCTTTCGGGCCTTGGTCCCGAGTTAGTGTCGTCCCTCCCCACCCGCCTTCCGCCTCCCCATCTTTCTTGGCCACTGCCTGGGCGCGAACAAATCCCGAAACGCACGACGCCATGTCGCCTAGGCATTTCCTACGTTAACAGTCACAGCGGCAAGGCGGAGCTGCTGTCCTGCCTCAGTTTCAAAACTAAAACGCGCGTTTTCTCGCGGCCGTGTGACACGCCACGCTGTCGTTTCATGGAGCCTGCGACAGGAACAGCAACACCACTGGCGTCCCGAAATGGTTTTTTTAGGTAATGATGAGCTGACGGCGGACGTCTTGGTGTATACGCCTCTATCGTGAGCGATTTCTTGCTCGCCACCAGACTGATGGAATCGAGTCCCAATTGACATTTTCACAGAGTAATTGACGCTGGAAATCATGGAATACTGCACTCTTCTCCCAGAGACCGCCCGTGGATGCATAGTCAGCATAGAGGGCCATGGACAAGAACTACGCAATAGCGGCCCAGCATGGCACAGACGTTTCGTCCTCCCTGCCTCACAGTCGCAGACCAGACGCACAATACGCGCTTCCTAGCACTCGTACTGCCTGAGCGTCTGTTCACTACGGACACGCATTGCTACAGGCTCGCAAGAGGGGTCCCGCGATCTACAGAACGAATGACCATAGGTCCAGAACGCGTCAACCTTTTGATACCGGACGTGCTCCGTCCCATCGGGCCTACCACATTCAAGAAAGCTATATAGAAGGCTACCAGAAGTCGACCTTATTTTTTCTTCCATCAAGCTCCAATCCGATACCCATTGAGCAAGGTGTACCCAAGTATCAATACATTCACATATATATACCTCCCGCCTCTTATACCTCCTGCTGCCAGTCAGCCGGTTTGATCTGTTCTGTTCATATATACACCACTGCCGGACAGTCTTTGTACTCCTTATCTTTGTAACAACAAGACATTCGGTTCTAAAGTGCCAATATGAAGTTCGACTCCACCATCATTGTCGCCTCCTTGGCCGCCTCCGCAGTTGCGGCTCCCGCCCCCAATGCCAACGAGCTTGCCAGGCGCTACGTTGTAAGTCGATTGCGTCCTCGCCCCATCCTTTGGGTTTCAGTCATGATTATCAGAACTAACAATGGTTAGGACACCACCGGAGGCCAGAGGCTCCCTGCACACTTTGTTTCCACTGTCCGCAGGTTTTCGAGTGAAAAGATCAAATCTAAGCGTCAGCTAGACCAGCTTCTTTCCGCCCTCACTGGCGGTGGCGGAGCCGGCAACAATGGCCTCAGTTCTCTTATTGGAGGCCTCACTGGCGGCCTCGCCCAAGGTCAAGGTCAAGGTCAGGTTGCAGGCGGCGCCGCTGCCGGAGCTGCCAACGGGGCTGCCGGAGCGGCTAACGGGGCTGCCAACGGTAACGGTAACGGTAACGGCAAAGGTGGAGCTGCAAAGGGCGTAAGTATTCTAAAGACTGAATCAATCAGACATGTTATTAACATCTCATAGGGTGCCGGTGCCAATGCTGGTGCAGCCAAAAACGCAACTCAAACAGCTGGTGCCGCAAATGGCGCAAAGGGAGGGAAAAACAATCAAAACGGTCAGGCCCAGCTAGCTGGTGCCGGTGGTAACCAGGCTGCTGATGGTATTTTCTCCAAAAGTTCTTGAAGTTGATCTATATACTAACTCCTCTCAGGTGCTGGTGCCAATGCAGGCAACGGTGCTGCCAATGCTGCCAATGCCGCCAACGCGGGCAAGGCCGGTGCCGCTAATGCTGGTGCTGGTGCTGCTAATGCTGGTGCTGCCAACGCCGGTGCCGCCAATGCTGGTGCCGCCAACGCCGGTGCTGCCAATACAGGCAAAGCCGGTGCCGCCAATGATGCTAATGGTGCTAATGGTGCTAATGGTGCCAACGGTGCCAATGCAGGCAAAGGAGCACAGCAGGGAGCAGCAGCACAGCAGGGAGCAGCAGCACAGCAGGGAGCAGCGGCCCAGCAAGGAGCAGCAGCACAACAAGGAGCTCAACAGCAAGGTGCTAAACAAGGAGGTGCAGCAGCACAGCAGGGAGCAGCAGCACAGCAGGGAGCAGCAGCACAGCAGGGAGCAGCAGCACAGCAAGGAGCAGCGGCCCAGCAAGGAGCAGCAGCACAACAAGGAGCTCAGCAGCAACAAGGTGCTAAGCAAGGAGGTGCAGCAGCACAACAAGGAGCTCAGCAGCAACAAGGTGCTAAGCAAGGAGGTGCAGCAGCACAACAAGGTGCTCAACAGCAAGGTGCAGCACAGCAAGGAGCTCAGCAACAGCAAGGAGCTCAGCAACAGCAAGGTGCCAAGCAGCAACAAGGAGCCAAGCAGGGAGGAGCAGCAGCACAACAAGGAGCTCAGCAGCAACAAGGTGCCCAGCAGCAACAAGGAGCTCAGCAGCAACAAGGTGCTAAGCAGCAAGGTGCTGCCCAGCAGGGAGCTGCCCAGCAGGGAGCTGCCCAGCAACAGGCGGGTGCAGCAGCCCAGCAAGCAGGCTCTACCGCCGCCACCGCCCGCTCGGTTTCCGTTGAGGATGAGGAGGAGGAGGACTAAATTCTCCACTCCCCATCTGAGTACAAGACACACACCCCTTTGAAGAAGCAGAGACGTGTATATCAGCCGAGCATGGGGGTTGTGTACAAATGACTGGACGACTGCAAGACATGAAAAAGACGAGTGGCTCTTTATTGAACCCGCTTATCTCAACCATGGGCACTTCATTTCGTCAGGAAAAACGGTGTGTTGGACTAGATTAAGTGTGGTTTTTTTTTCCTTTCCTTTCTCACACGAGTGGTTTGGGGTAGATCTCCCCTCCAGTGTTGTGCACTGTGTGCGCACGCCTGTGAGTGAGTGAGAGTATGTGTGTAGTATGGTAGCTGTGCTATCGATGATTAATGATATGGCTGATGCTTTCCCCCCTTGTTCATCTTGAAATCTGCCGTTTCTTTTTATACATGCATGCAACTGTGTCATGTATGTCTTGAAGTATCGAAAAGTCGGCGTTTATTGTAACGTCGTTACAATCCTGCCAAGCACCATACCAGATTCGGAACCAGATCGGGGTAACCACCCGCCAGCCCTCTTAGCAGATATATATAAGAGACACGCCTAGTAGATAGTTGTATAGATTTTTAATATTCTTATATACAAGGCCTATAGGTAGCTACCTAAATTAAGGCTTATCTAGTGACCCACGCACTCCCATATGCCTCTGAGTAACTCTACTGCCGTTACTAACCCGAGTAGTATTGCCTGCGCCGTTACATTCGAAAGTAATGTAAGAAGTTTTGATTGCAACTCTGGTATCAAAGGAATCGTAAGTTTTCTTTTTCTTTTTTTCATCATCATCATCATCATCATCATTATTATTATTTCCCCATCTGTGCAAATAGCACATGTCAAAAGGCAAAAGGCAAAAGGAAAAGGATAAAAAAGAATTTACATACATACATACATACATACATACATACATACATATATATGCATTTTACTTGCGGAAATTTTGGGCCGAGCCAAAGTCTACTCCAGATGCTAAGCCAAAGCAAAACGAGTAATTAGTTAGAGTCCGTTGGAAAGTTGTACGTGTGAGAAGTGCTTTTAATACGACTATTTACTTATTTATCGAGTTTTTCTTTCGAAAAATTAAAAAAAACAAGGGGAGAAAGGGTTTATCGCATCGTGTTTGATTTTACTTGTTATTTCTTTTCTTTTCTTTTCTCTCGTTTTATAGGGGTATGTATGTATGTATGTCAGTAGTGTATAGTTGCGATATGGTGAAATAAGTGACCAAGTGACTACGGTAGACATTGCAACCATGTACTCATTACGGCGTATATGTATGTATGTATATGCATGCACGTATATAAACTCGAGAAAGAAAAAAAAAGCGAAGAAAAAAAAGAGAGAAACCATGTCAATAAACACAGGCACAGCATCTTGTCCTCCCCGACCACAACCGGCACGTCCATCACTACTACCACAACACAACACAAGACTAGCCCAAGACGCCCACACTATCATTCCTCTTGTACACCTCACTCAGCCCGGGAAACGTATCAAGGCTATCGACGCCGCCGCCCGGACACTTCCAGTCGCGATTATACGCTTTGTCCGGTAAGATGCCAGCTTTCCTGCCCATACGGTAACTCCACTGGGGACTTGATTCGGTCTGCCAAGTCCAGTAGAACCAGCCCCAGCCAGCCTCAAAAGCATCCATCTGGCCAATGGCGAACTGGTAAAGCCATTTTTTGTATTCGGCCGAGTAGGACGAGGGATCGGCGTTGGCCTGGGTGCACGAGCACTGCGAGGATTGCAGCGGGCATTGCGGGGCGAGCACGGCGCCCGACTTGTCGGTGGATTGCAGCGTGCCTTCCCAGCGGGTGCCGGTGCCGACGTTGTTGATGTACTGCGTGCAGTCCGTGTCTGCTTGGGACCATTCGCCGCACATGGTGGGGCCGAAGCCCGTTTGCTTGTTCATGCTGCGTTTGGATTGCTGGGTCCAGGCTTCGCAGGCAAAGTTGAGCTTGTCGCGGTGCTTGAGTTTGATTTGGTCCGTGTTGAAGATGACGTATTGGTGCACGTCGAGGAGGAGGTTGTCGTTGCCCTGGAGCTTGCCCTGCCAGTTGTCAAGGCCCATGAAGCCGTCGCCGAAGATGATGATGCTTTTGATGCCGTCGGACCGGATCTGGTCAATGGCCTTTTGGGTCCACATGAGCACCGTTTGCGTGTCGAGTTCGACCATGCGCGGCTCGTTGACGAGGCCGTACATGGTGACAATGTTCTTGTAGCGGTCCTGGGCAAAGAAGACGGAGAGTTTGTGGTGCACGTCGAGGGTGCGCTGGCCGTTTTGGTCGCCATTGGTACCGTTGAGCCAGCCAATGACGCCTTGTCGACCAGAGTGGTTCCAGCCGTTCTGACTGCCTGGTGCGCCGTGGAGGTCGAGGTTCACGCGGAGGCCGTTTTGTCGGCAGTATTCAATGCCGCGAAGGAGGTAGCGCCACGACACCTGCGGCACGTATACGTCGCCGTCGTACGTCTGCACCATCCAGTAGCCAAACGGAAAGCGCACGTGGTCCAGCCCGGCCTCGCGGATCTCAATAAACGACTGCTTCGTGATAAATGTCGAATAGTGCTTCTCCAGCGTAGATTTGGCGGGACCGGGCCCGAGCTTGTTGGTAAAGGTCCATTCGTCCACGATCCCGTCCTTGGATCCAAACTGCGAGAAGAAGGATGGGGTGATAAAAGGCTCTAGGTTGAGCCAGCCGCCAACGTTGACGCCCCGAATCGGCATCTTGCCATAGTCAAACTTGTCGGACAGCTTGGGTACAGAAGGGTTGGCTTGGACAGAGTCGTCCCACGTCGAATTGAGGCCTATGATGGGGAGGCCTCCTACGGTTTCACTGGTAAAAGTGACGTTAAAGTCAGCAGTATCATACCAAGACCATGGGTCCAATATGCCGCCACGGTACTGTTCTGGCACGCTGTTCCGGTCCTTGCCAGCCAGATTGCTGTTGGACGGCCCTGAACTGCCTCCTCCAGACGAGCTTCCGGAAGAGCTGCTGTTGCTACTGCTGTTGCCTGACAAGACAACAGCGACGGGTATGATGATGGCCAGCAGGAGAATGACTGACAGTACGACGATGATGATGCGCTTCCGCTTCTTCTTCCTTGCGAGCTCCTCTTCCGAGTACACTGTGGGTGTTTTGCCACCACCTCCACGCTTCTCCATCATGTAGCGGTATTCGTCCTCGTCTTCAATGCCGCCCTCTTCTGCCAGTGGCCCACTAACGACGCGCCGCTTCTTCTGCTCGGTCCGGTGCTGCTTCTCTCGTCGTCTCCGCTCTCTCCGCTCTTCAACTTCGGATGGTGTGTGCTTGGGTTCACGTTTACGTCTCCGCTCTTCTCGCTCGTCTTCGGTTTGCGTGCTCGGTTTGCGCCGAGGTGCTTCCTCGTCCGTGTGGCTTGCTTTCAGCGCAGCCGCTTTCCGTCGCTCTTCACGCCGCTTCCTTGCCCTCTCTTCGTGCGTGGCCGCATCGCTCTCTGCTGCACGCCGTCTCGCCTCATCCTCCCTCTGTGCCTTTCTCTTCTCTTCGCGCTCGTCTTTGAGCCTCGCCTTCTCGAGCAGCTTCTCCTTCCTACGAACTTCCTTTAGGTAGTCCTCGTCGTAGTCATAAGTTCCCCAGCCACCCGACTTCTTGGCATTGGTCTTGTCGAGCTTTGCGAGCGCATCCAAGCTCAAGGGCGCGGTGCCGCGACTCGGGCCTCCTTCTGTCTTGGAGTTGCGCCGGGTGCCCCGCGCTTTCTGGGGCGCTGGCGAGTCCTGTTCTGCATCGCTCTGCTGGCGTGGGCGGCGTTGGGGCCTCGGTAGCGCGTCTCCCTGGGAATCTGTCGCCCGGTGGCCTTTTCTCCGCCTCCCCTCGTGCTCTGGTGCTGCATGTTCGCCGCGAGATTCTCTGCGCTTCCGTCGTTCTGGGTCGGTGTCGCCGTGCGATTCTCTGCGGCGCCTTCGCTCATCGCCCTGCGGCCGTCTCCGCGAGGGGTCGCGGTCGCGGTCGCTCATGGAAAAAGAGCTGGTTGGTGCAGGAAGCGCTTGTGGGATGGGCGTGTGAAAACGCGGTGTGGGAGCGTGGGGCTGGGAAGCACTTCATGCGAGTTGATGCTGGGAAAAAGAAAGCACGTGGATACAGACAATAACAATGGCGGCGGTGGACTTGGAGCTCGGGGCACACGAGTAAGACATGTGAATACCAGAAGCGAATATGTATAACTGCGGGTGGCGCAGGCTCGAGGTCGAGGTTGCTGGGATGTGGGGTGGTTGCCAGGGAGACTGGTGTTGATGGCTTACCTGACGTGGCCCAGTTGCTGGGCATGGCATGGCGCAGGGCAGCGAGCTTGGAAACACGGCAAAAGGCGCCATAGAGGCGGCGCCTTGAGCCCTGCCGCGCGGCACTATGGCTCTATAAGACGCTTGCTCCGGCTCCTACTTACACATAGACATACACGGCCATCCATCAGTGCGTCATCCGACGATTCGCCCATCCACACGGAACTAGAGCCAGCACCGTGCTTTTGTTCGGGCAGATACGAATGCAAATGCAAATGGGCCCTGCGTCAGCAGGCCAGATCTGCTCAGCCACGCGATGCAGCACAAGCCCATGACATCACAGCACATGCGGACGACCCCTGGCCCCCAGCCGTCGGTAACAATCATAACAATGTATTGTAGAGCATACGTATAGGCGTGTGTGTGGTATCATAGCGGAATTTTACAAAAGAAATGCGCCGTGCGGGAGAGGGCTGACTCCCATCTGCCAATGGCGCCCGCGAAGGCGCACCCGCCTCTCTCTAATAAGCTGCTCCACGGGTCTATGGTGGCGACGGCGCAATCATCGCACCACCTGTACAGGACCAAAGCAGCATGCCGCCTAAACAAATACTGAGTCGGCCTTCATCGCAGCATGCGGCGCGGCAGTCCTGTCGGAAGTGCTGGCACATGGGAGCTCTCATGTGCATATATCAAGTGTTGCAACGTGGCGACATGCATTCAAGATGCAGCTACGCCTTGGGAAGAACTGGCGCCATCACAAGACACGGCCGCCTTGCCCTTGTCGGCCGCCTTCTTCTCGTCGTCGCTGTAGAGGCCGTGCTCGTAGATGTAGTCGACCACCTTGTCGGGAATGTAGTAGCGGATGCTCTTGCCTCGCTTGCGGAAGAGGCGAATCTTGGTCGACGACACGTCGTTCTGGATGAGTTGCGGAATAACGCGGATGTTGTGCCTCCACTGTTGCAGCTGCACGAGGGCGTCATCTGGTACAAGTCAGTCATACAAGGCATAGCCGGCAGTGAGGAGCATACCGATATCAGTGCCGCTGCGTTCGAGGATAAAGGCGCCGTAGTGGCCCAAGATCCTGCTCAGATCCTCACGAGCCCACAGTCCAGGTGTGCTCATGGTCTGGATCAGGTCGGCGCCGGCTAGCAGCGCAACGTGGATGCGGCGCTTCTCGCCATTTGCCGCCTCAATGCCTCCCATGACTTCGTTCAGCTCGTAGTCAAAGTGGTCGAGCACCTTGACGGTAGGGAGGTATTCCTTGTGCAGCGGCTCCCATGGGTCGACACCAATCCAGGTTGAACTGTCGGCGACAGCGATCCTCGTCATGTTGATGCGGTGCTGGGCAGAGGCCAGTCCGGCCTTTTTGTACGCATCGCCGACAGGACTGAAGAAGCCACCCACCACTTCATAGTCGGTCTCGAACTCGCAGTAGTCGGCCGCCTCCTCGAACATGCGCAGGTGGAGATTCGTGGGGGGCGAGAAGGAGCCACACGACACGAGCACGAGGGGCTGCTTGTTGGGGTTGGCCAGCGTCTTTTTTAGGCGCTCCTTGGGAAATGTGTAGTTGTCGAGCGACATGGCTTCTACGTTGGGCATGCCGGCGTCGAGGAGGACCTCGCGATTAGCAGTCGTGGTGGTGGTGGTGGTGGTAGCCGACATGGTCGCGAGGGGTAGGATGGGTGGAGCGGGGGCGGCCGCCGACGAGGGACGAGCACGAGTAGTGTAGGCGGCGGGCGGCGGTGGTGGTGGAGAAGGCGGCGGGCGGCGGATGGGCGCGGCGAGGGTTTTGGGTCTAGGTTTAGGGTTGGGTTTGGGTTTGGGGGGTAAAGTATGGGGTCAATCTGGAGGGCCGAGTCAATTGCCGGCGGGCGAGAGACATTTATGAGGGAGAGGCTTACGAATACTGCGATCAACGGCGCGCGCGGTAGCCAGCCGGCAGACTAGGCAGTAGTCTGGAGGCAGTCGGTAGGGATCTGGCAATGACGCGGGGCGGGTGAGGCGAGACAGCCGACGATTCCTGCTCGCGGCGGCACACGGAAAAGTCTGCTGGACGGCGGGCGGCGGGCGAAGGGCGTTGTTGAGTGAAGGACACAGGGAAGGGGGAGCGCGAGAGCGACAGACGGGGGGGAGCAGTCAGCCATCTTGTACCCTTTTTTTTTACCACACACTTTGTTTGCAGGCGGCCATGGTTGAGACAGTCTGGTGCGGGCGGCGGCGGGGCTATCCAGGCCCTACTTACCCACGCCTTTGAAATCAGCCTGCGACTGCACATGTGCCTGTGTGGCCGTGCCGCCGTAGCACCAGCACCAGCACCAGCACCAGCACCAGGGCCAGGCGATGCGAGGCGATGCACTGCGAACGGCGGCGCATCCAACCCTTTTGCTTGGGCATGTCCCAGATGCATCCCGAATGGGCATGCTGCTGCTGCTAGCCCACGGCGACCGCCTCACGTGGGCGATGTCGGCCTTGCCCCGACCCCACAGCCAGACGTCGTCTTGGCCCCAATGCGGCTGCGGCTGCGGGTCGTGGGATGCAAATGCTGAACAATCCGTGTGACTTGGCTCGCGTCCAGACACTGCTCGTCTCGCCCCGGCCGTGGAGAGTGGCGTGCTTCATGCCACACTCACACTCATGCCCACGCACGCTTTTGGCCTGGTCTTGGCACGACTCAACCACACACGCCTCCGAGGGGCTGCTGGGTTGCACTGAGCCCCCCCCATGTGACTGAACCTGCCGGGTTTTCACAATCACTCTGCGTTGTCATCTCGTTCGCGTTGCTGGGTTCTGTTTGCCCCTCCCTCTTTTTTTTTCTCCCTCTCTCTCTCTCTCACCCTCCCGCGTGACAGCGAACAGCGCGGCCGGGAGGAGGACCTGGAAATAGCCGCCCGACCGTAGACGTGTAGGCTGAAGGAGAGGGGGCCCAAGCCGGGAGCGCCATGATGGGAATCAATGGCCGTGGCCTGTGAAGATATGTACAGTGTCTGTGTGTCTGTGTGTATGTATGCATGTATGAATGCATGTACCGTGTCTTGGGTGGCGATGCGTGAAGCCGGTATATTGCGATTGAAATCCATCGACGGGCCCTAACCAAATCAACAAGCACAAGATAAAATAGCCGGCAAAAAGAAGAAAAGCGCGGCCAGGACCACCATGGCTCCGGGCCAATGGCCGAGGGCGTCGTGTGAATGCCGCGGTAGCAGGGCAGGGGAATACTATAGTCATACAGTAGAACAAGCAGGGCAGGGCAGGGCTCGCTATCGATAACGGTCGCTAGGCTAGCCCCAGTCGGGTCACGTAATTAGCTCCGCCGACCAGGCCATGGTGGATATGCAACCTCAAGTATTCGCCAGACTCATTGCAGTATTACCCATCTCTTGCTATACCCATCCCAACCCGACCCGCGCAGCACGCTCGCTTGCTCGCTCCCATCCCCGCCTGCATTCACCGTCCCCGCCCTGCCTCCCGTTCCTTTGTGTGTTTGCACTCACCGCACTCGCTTGAGCACCCGCCTCATGGCGCGTCCTTGATGGCATCCAGAGGACCTCGTCAAAGGTAAATACCGCTCACTCTGCTCGACCCTTGGCCCACTGCAGCAACCGACCCTCAACCCGCCCACTGCTTTTCCATCTCCGCCTGCTGCACGCCTCCCTCCCGCCTTGCCTCTTTTTGCTTTCTACCGACACAGGCCTGCCGCCAGCCCACGGCAGCCCCAGTCTGAGCGCATCTCGATTGCACAAGCCTCAAGTCAGAATCTCATGTCGTCCAGAGTCACTCGCTCGCAAAGGCGCCAATCCGGCAACCCGCTCAACGACACCACCGACCCCTCGCCGCCAGCCCTCCCGCCCACGCCAGCCCTCCCGCCGCCGCCCCCATCTTCTCGCAAGCGCAAGTCTGCTGCGCCGGACCACTCGCCCGACCAGCCCGACCACGCAGACGCTCCCCCCGCCCGTGGAGCTCGCAGCAAGCGCTCCAAGGTCGACGCCCAAGACCCCCCACCCCAGCCCAAGACACGTTCCAAAAAGGCAAAGGGCAAGGCCGCCGCTGCCATGTCTTCCTCTGGGTCTGTGCCAAGCGCTCTTGCACACGGCCATTCGCTGACGCACACCAGCCCGCCATCAGATCCCATCGACGAGAAGGCGACGCCCCAGCCCTCGAGGCGCTCCAAGGGCGGCCGCAGGAGTGCCGGCGACAGCTCGAGGCGCCAACCGAAACCCCCCTCCAACGCCGACGCCGACGCCGACACACCATCGACCTCTCGCCGCAGCTCTCGAAGGTCCACCAAGGCCGAAACAGACACCAACATGGACGACGCTCCCCCACCCAGAAACGAAGACAACGCGCGCCACTCGGCCGACGAGCACACCAGTGACGACGAGCACGGAGACGCACACGGCGAGCGCTACGAAGAAGAGGATGAAGACGACGACGACGACGATCCCTTTAGTGGCGGGTTCCTTGGACGCAACACGCACAGCCTTTCGGCCCTGAGGCAGCTGACCGGCATTATGGCAGGCACCACGCAGCGTCTGCGCGGCATCCTGGAACAACTGCGCTCGCCCGATGACTCTGTCCAATTGATAGCACTCAATGAGCTTTCGGAAGTGCTCCTCATCTCCACCGAGGACAATCTAGCTGGCCACTTTTCTCCCGACGCATACGTCAAGGAGCTCGTCAAGCTCATGCAGCCCAACGAGTTCACAATGGAAGAGAATCCCGAGCTCATGCTACTCGCCTGCCGCTGCCTCGCCAACTTGATGGAAGCGCTCCCCCAAGCAACAGCCAACGTCGTCTACGGCGGCGCAGTCCCGGTCCTCTGCTCCAAGCTGCTCGAAATCAACTTTATCGATCTCGCAGAACAATGCTTGAGCACATTGGAGAAGATCTCGATTGAGTTTCCTGGCGTCATTGTGCGCGAGGGCGGCCTGACGGCCTGTCTTACCTTCCTCGACTTCTTTGCCACCAGCACGCAGCGAACTGCCGTCACGACTGCCGCCAATTGCTGCCGTAATATCCCCGAAGATTCATTCCCTGTCGTGCGCGACGTCATGCCTATCCTTGAGAACATCCTCAACAACAATGACCAAAAGGTGGTGGAGCAGGGCTGCATATGCGTATCTCGCATCGTCCAGAGCTTCAAGCAACAAGAGAGCAAACTTGAAGAGCTTGTCAGCCCGGGCCTTCTCAAGGCAATCCTCCGCCTTCTTCTACCAGGCAGCACCAACCTGATTGGGCCCAGCATTCACACCATGTTCCTCCAGGTTCTTACGTATACCGCCAAAGCTAGCCCGCGCCTGTCTGCCGAGCTGCTCAAGATGAATGTCGTCGACACCCTGTATCAGATTCTCACTGGTGTGTCGCCTCCCAGCGGCACCGAAGACGTCGCGGCCAAGATAGACTCTGTCATCATCATGCAAGCTCTCATTCACCGGCCCAAGGATCAGGTTTATGAAACGCTGAATGTCATTTGCGAGCTTCTGCCCGATGTCCCCAATGAAGGCCTGTCGTATCTCGACGACCTCTTTGACGCCGGCTATCCGGGTGATGATCTTCTTCCTCTTTCCTCCACAAACAAGAAGACTACGAATGAAAAGCGTGTAGAGCTTCTCGAAGGGTGCAAGACGGAGGTCAAGCGCTTTGCTGTGATCCTTCTGCCAACTCTGACGGATGCCTACTCCAGTACCGTTAACCTCAGTGTTCGCCAAAAAGTACTCACGGCCCACCTCAAGATGTTGTCCAACCTCGATACCGATATTCTGGAAGAAGCCTTGCGCCCGGTGCCGTATGCATCGCACTTGGCGTCAATATTCACTCAGCAGGACCACCCGTCTCTCGTCACGTACGCTCTGCAGGCTGCCGAGCTGCTGCTCAAGCGGCTGGAGTCTATCTATCGCTATCAGTTCTACCGTGAAGGGGTCATTTCAGAGATTCAACAACTTGCAAATCGTCCATGTAAGACATTGGACGGTCGGACCAAAGAGTCAAAGTCCACTTTGGGCGCCACAATGACTGCCTCGGGCGATAGCACCGCCTCTTCAGCGGAGCCAGAAGCCGAGTCGGAGACGGGTAACCTGAATGAGGGCGTCGACGTAGAAATGCAGTCAGAGGACGAGGGCGACGAGGTGGACCTCGACGACGAGCCGAACACAAGCAGCCAGAACCGAGACGATGACGACGAATCCGACTCATCCTCGTCCTCTGATCAGCGCGAACCGCCGCCGATGCCCAATATCGAAGATATCATCACCCTACGTGCCAAAAAGTTCATCGAGACGCATGAAAGGGAGGGTGACAAGGCTACGCGCGACAAGGCAACTGCGGTTCTGGATGATCTCAAGTCGCTGGCTACCGAAATCCGAGCCTGCGGTTCCAAGGGCACCGCAAACAAATTCATGGATCTGTTCACCCGACTGGCTTCTTATTTTGAAGGCGATGCACTAGAAAGCATCACCAGTTACGAGCTCAAGTCATCCAAGATTGTGGAAGTGCTGTTGGAAGTCTTCTCAAAGCACATATCTTCAAAGGATATTGATCCTAGACCCATCTTCCTGGAGGCTTTCATGGGCGGCAGCAGCCAGAGCAAGATCAAGACTGCCAGCACCGCATCTCCAGCGACTCCTTTCAGCGTCTTGGTCCATAAACTTCAGGACCTCCTCAGCAGGTCCGAGCATTTCGATGTCATCACTGTACATCAAAACATGTACGACAGCCGAGGAAGCGCGACCTCTATGCTAGCCAAGCAACTGCGATTGAAGCTCGTCGCCGATGATGACTCGGGCATTCCCAAGACCTATCGTAACATTATGGTGTCTATTCACGCAATTGCGACTTTCAAGGCTCTGGATGACTACCTCCGCCCACGCATAAGTCTTGCTGATCGGCCACGGCCTGCTAAGCCCAGGGATCAATTTGCCCGTGACCAGTTCGAAGCCATGTATGCTCAAGCTCTTGCTGAAGGTCGTGCGCCTGCGCCGCCCCGGACGCCGTCTGATTCAGCAGGCCGCGCTTCGAAAAGGTCGTCGCGGTCCAAGCCAGCTCTGCCAGAGTCGCCCCAGCCAGGTCCCAGCTCTGCTACGCGCGAAAAGACACGGCGGTCAAGTAGGCGTCAGCAGCAGCAGAACCCTCCGCCTCCACCCCCACCTCCAGCCATGCCGCACTCGAACGACAGTCAGGAACCTGTGGAATGTGCCGACGAAGCTCAGGTATCCGACCCGGAATCTATGGACGAGGACAGTGCCTTGAACGCAATTGTCGATGATCTGGAAGAAGATCTTGACGAAGACATGCCAGATCCCTCTGCTGTGAGCGTCGAGGTCGCATCAACAGGAAAAGCTACTGCTCACCAGGAGGATGGCACGAGGATCGCGACACCAGTACAAGGTACACCAATGGCGAAACCACCCCCGGAGAACAGAACTCCTGCTTCGCGATTGTCGGCACTCCTACAGAGCTCAGCTATGCGCCAGAGTCTAGGTGGAGCGGCCAGTGCCCTCTCATACGCTGCCGCTGTTCAGTCAACTCCCCAGGATTGGCACATTGAGTTCAGCGTCAACGAACAGCCCCTCTCGAATGAGACAACCATCTACCGCGCTGTGCACTTTACCAGGCCACAGCCATCGGAAGGCCCACAGCGCTCGGTATGGAATGGCATTCATACCATCAAGTTCAGGCGGGTGCAGGGCCCTCCACCAAGCGAGTCGAGCTCCTTGACACCACCCCCAGAGTCAAAGTCGGATGTTGCAGGCATGCCGGCTTCGCTGGATCAACACCCCGTGACATCTGGTATCCTGAGGCTACTCAGTATACTTCACGGATTGAACTCGCATCTCGATGATATACTTTTGGCAAACAAGGAGCAAATCAAGCTCAACGCAGAGCCACTATCACAGTTTGTCAACACAAAGCTTACGGCGAAACTCAACCGCCAGCTTGAGGAGCCTCTTATCGTGGCCAGCAACTGTCTGCCTAGCTGGAGTGAAGATTTGGCTCGCTTCTACCCGTTCTTGTTCCCGTTCGAGACTCGCCATCTCTTCTTGCAGTCAACTTCGTTTGGCTACTCACGATCGATGACAAGATGGCAAAACTCGCAGCCTACGAGCGATTCACGAAGCGACCGACACCGAGACGAGCGTCCCTTTTTGGGTAGACTACAGCGACAAAAGGTACGGATATCGCGATCGCGGATCCTGGAGTCGGCCATGAAGGTCATGCAGCTGTACGGACACTCTGCCAGTGTTTTGGAAGTGGAGTACTTTGAGGAGGTTGGAACTGGCCTGGGTCCAACCCTGGAATTCTACTCGACTGTGTCCCGGGAGTTCTCCAAGAAGAAGCTCAAGCTTTGGCGAGAGAATGAGTCCAACGACGGCGACGAGTATGCCTTTGGTAAGCGGGGATTATATCCTGCGCCCATGAGTGAAGAGGAAGCGAACAGCGAAAACGGCGAAAAGCGCCTAGAGTTGTTCAAGGTCCTGGGCAAATTCGTGGCCCGTTCTATGCTCGACTCTCGCATCATCGACATCTCGTTCAACCCAACCTTCTTCCGCATCAGCGATGGTTCGAGCGCAGCAGTCGTACCATCTCTCGGGGCCATCAAGACTGTCGATGAGGGTCTGGCCAAATCTCTGGTGTTGCTCAAGCAATTCGCCGATGCTAAGAAGAACGTCGAGGACAGTGACTTGAGCCCAGAGGAAAAGGCAGCAGCTCTTGAGAAGATTGTCATACACGACTGTACGGTGGACGACCTGGCACTGGACTTTACTTTGCCCGGCTATGATTCGATCGAGCTCATTGAGAATGGAGCGAACACACCGGTTACGATCAGCAACGTTGACAGGTATGTCGACAAGGTTATAGACTTTACCCTGGGCTCCGGTGTGGAGCGACAGGCAAATGCTTTCCGTGAAGGCTTCACCGAGGTCTTCCCGTATTCTGCACTTAAAGCCTTCACCCCAGACGAGCTGGTGATGCTCTTTGGCAGGACTGACGAAGATTGGACGCTTGAAAGTAAGTTGAGCTACGTCAACAACCATGCAATATGCTAACAACACGTCAGCACTGATGGACTCTATCAAGGCAGACCACGGCTACAATCTCGACAGCAAGAGCGTACGCAACTTGTTGGCTACCATGAGCGAGTTCAACGCACAAGAGCGGCGAGACTTTCTGCAATTCATTACTGGTAGCCCCAAGCTTCCGATTGGAGGTAAGATGGCGTGGCTAGTGCTTGAAGCGAGTGTATGCTGACTGTTTTGCAGGATTCAAGGCTCTCACACCGATGTTTACCGTCGTCTGCAAGCCCAGCGAGCCGCCATTCACGTCGGACGACTACCTTCCGTCTGTCATGACATGCGTCAACTACCTCAAGATGCCAGACTACAGCAGCGTTGAGGTGTTGCGCGAGAAACTCAGCGTTGCGATTCGCGAAGGCCAGGGGGCTTTCCATCTTTCTTAAAGTGTGAAGTGGTGGGTTAAGGCGGAAGGTGTATACCCTGGGGTTTTCCTTGGGCGTCGGACATTGATATCCATGGATTCAGATGCAAGGTCGAGGCTCTTATGAAATGTATGCACATGGGTTTAGCATGCATTGCGGGTAGTTTTTGTTTGTGTTCTTTCTTTTTCTTCTTTTCTTTTCGGGGAGGACGGCGTTTGAAGCCCATGTAATTTTTGCCATAGCATTAGTCTGTTCAACAGACTATAGAATCGCAGGTATTTCTTTTGTCCCTCTCTCTCTCCATCTCTCTTATCCATGGTCTACTGGTATTACTCCCTAACATGAATAAGCTGTTGCTGCCAACACACCAACCCCACGGACGCATGCATATGTACATAGTATTGCCCCAACCCACCACATAATAATCATCGTCTCCCTTGCACTATGTATTAACAAGCCTTATTTCGCACACCTCATACTCTTGCCATCCCCCCCCCCTTCTCTCTCTCTCTCTCTCTCTGTCTTTGTGCCGCACACGTCTCACACACCCCCTTCCCCGACATTTGTACCGCCAACCTTCTGCCATAGGGCTTGAGCGCCTCCACCCCACATGTAATTTCACAGCACCAAGCTCCACCAGTATATGGCCTCTACGTTGACCCAGATTCACAAACACACATATATATAAACGCATATACACAGACGCGCGTGTGCGCACGGCGTAAATAGGTGCGCGCACTGGTTGGTGTGTTCAACCGTTTCGAGGTGTGCACGTACTTACATACTACATGCACACATCCACATGTCTAAGTAAATCTAAATCTCCATCATGCTTACATACTGCACAGTACTCCTAAGTATGGATATGGATGTGGATATGGATATGAATATGGATATGCACCATCCTTGGCTCTTGCCCCGTTCATCGCAATTTCCAGCGCGCTTGGACTTTTCGGGCTGAGCTGGACTGAGCTGGGCTGGTGGGGACGAGCGCGCGCACGCACGGAGGTGAGCGAGCGAGCGAGCGAGCACCGAATAGAATGGCATGGCATAGTATGGCATAGTATGGCATGGCATCAAAGAGGATGCAATTAGGGGCAGCGGGGAGGACCATGCAAACTGTGGGCGTGTGCGGGAGGGTATTGTTTTTCCGTGTTCCTTGTGTTATCTTAATGCAGATGTAGCGTTCTTGTTTAGGGGGGGGGGATTGCATAGGGAGGTTATACGTGGAGGAGTCTTTGGGGGGAGGGGGAGGGGGAAGTGATAACGGGAGGATGAGTGGAGAGTAGCATAACTCATCCTCCTCTCTATCTCTTTCTCTCTCCCTCTTACTGGGGGGGTTTTTTTTCTCTCTACTTTTCCCCTTGTCGTGGTTACATAATGGCAGTGTAGGTTGAAACGTGATGACACAGCATGGCAGGACCGCAGCAAATGACTCGCGTCATTTGTGACCTCTCTCTCTCTCTCTCTCTCTCTCTCTCTCTCATCTGCTTTCGTGAAAGGGACAAGAGAAGGGGGAAGGGGATGATGCGCGCTGCAATCATATCTACTAAAGGAGAGAGAGGAGACTGAAAGGGGAGACACAGACTGTGCGTGCGCAAGGCCGTGTCTTGTCTTGTCTTGTCTTGTCTGGTACATACTTTTGCATGTTTGTGTGGGCGACGGGGGCAGATCTTTATTCTAAGATGAAGGGGACGGGGGGGACGTGTGTGGGAAACTTATAATTGCATCTGTATTAGGGGGGGGTTGGGACTAAATGTAAGTTTTGTGGGGTTCCCAATTAGTTATCCCATTTCATATCTATTTTTGCTTTTTTCTATTTGCGCTCTCTCCTAGCACTAGGGACTGGCTATGCTTGCTTTACTTTGGCTGCGCGCATAACCTCTCTTTTTTTCCTTTTCCCTTTTTTCTTCCTTCCCTCCTTTTTCTTCTTTTTCGTTCCTCCTTTTTTTTCATCGATTATCTTGTCGACGGTCCCTCCTGTTTGTTGTCTCGCTGTTCCGTGTTTGTGTTTTTTTTTTGTTTTTGGTCCCTTGATTTGATCTGATTGGTTGGGGTCGGTTTAATACATATCTCTAGTGTATCTCGCTCGCTCGCTCTCTCCTGTTCTCTTGTACGGTGGTGTTGGATTGCCTAGGAGACGTACTGCCATTACCTGCGCCAACTCCCCCCTCAGTCGTCCTACCTACATCTCCCTGCTGCCGTCGGAACAAGCATCCCTCGAACATCTCACGCCAATCATGTCTTCGCTCTCTCTTCTCACCTCGCCCCTGCGCGCCCGCGACCGACAAGACGGCTCGATTTTCGAAAATGACGTCCAAAGACGGGGCTTTGTCATTGTCATTATACTGAGTCTTCTCGCAACAGTCGGCATGTTCTGCCTCATAATTACGCTCGTCCTGTTGAAGAACAAGCGCGATCGCAGGATCAAGAAGGCGAAGATGGATGCGGAGAAGGGGTCTGTTTGGCCGGGGGCGAACAAGGGACGGTATCAGAAGGTGGAAGAGGACAAGAGAGATGGCGTTTGGAGTGCAGAGATGGAAATGGAGGATCGAGGGGCGTACAGTGGCGCGGGGTATGGGGAGGGTAGAGAGCCATATAGGCCGGTAAGTGAAGCAATCCTTCACCCTATGAGCGTGAAACGAGACTAACGGAGACACAGATTAATACACATGTATCTTAGAGATATCTTCGCAGCTATGCGTAGGGAAAAGTTGTCGTCATCAGGTGGTCTAATCACCATTCACTCAGTGTAGGAGCGAGAGTGAAAGGCGCTAACAACTCGCCTTCACCTTTTCTCGCCGTTTGCCCACAGACAAACAAGTAGATAAAATTCAAAATACCGCCTGCGGGGACTAAAACTCACCACAAAAATCTCTTTTTCCTCCGCACAGTCGAATCCAAGCCCACCCTCGCCGCATTCGAACCTCGCCCTCGGATCCTCGCCTTGCTCCACCGGAGCACTCTGGTCCGCCATAACTCTAACTGGATTCCAGGAAGCATTCATGCCTGCACGCCGCGGCTTCCATCCATGTGGAGAGACGGACGAAGATCGGGTAAGCGGCAAGTTGCAGAAGCGTATGACCTACACTGACGACTGTGAGCCTATTCTACACTCCGAGGCCATAGAGGGAGCCGTCGAAGGAGTTGTAAACGAAGCGATTGATAGGTATACTGGCAAGAAATCTAAAGTGCGACTCAAGTACGAAGACATTTACGAGATTGTGGAGAGAGTGAGGAAGTCACAGGGCAGGACGAGCAGCAAGAAACCAAAACAAGACGGATTCAAGCCGTTCCCAAAGCCGCGTCCAGCAGCCCCAAATCCAAGCACTGAGTCGTGTGCCGCTCAGGCCGGGGATAAGAAGCCAAACAAGAAAAATATGAAGAGGGCGAAGAAGCCTGCAGACCATACCGCCAACACGACAACCACCAACGCGCCAGAAGCCACAGAGCAGGACACCAAACAGACTTCGTTTCCTGACCCAGCCTCCATCCCCACCGCCACCGCAACGCTCGCCCCAGAAGCGCCTGACAAACACTTCATCGTCCGTCAAACCTTCTACACCAACAACTGGCCCTCCTACACCACGACTGTGCACGCAAACATCTGCCGCCCCGCCGCTAGACGCTACATTATGCATCGCTCGCAGAGCCTTGCTTCTACGCCCGTCCACTACATTGTGCCTGGCGATGGCAGCAGTGAGACGCAGCAGAGTGCCAAGAGTGTGTCGGTAGAGACGATGCGCAAGATGGTGTGGTTCCAGTCAGCAGATGGGGATGACCGGGAGGTGTTTGGGTTCGAAGCGTGGATCGAGGAGAGGAAGGAATTGGTGCTGAGGATGTGGGCGAGTGTGCGGGGGGAAAAGGATCTGGATGAGAAGGACATGGAGAAGATGAAGAAGATGGATGAGAAGGAAATGCATGCCATGTATGAGAAGGACATGGAGAAGATGAAGAAGATGGATGAGAAGGAAATGCATGCCATGTATGAGAAGGAGATGGAGGTGGCTGAGAAGGACATGTTTGAGATGTTTGAGAAGCAGCGCATGGATGACATGGAGGAGATGCAGATGGAAGATATGGAGGAGGCGGATATGGAGGAGATGTTTGAGGCGTATGAGAAGGAGATGCAGGAGTTGGAGGAGATGTATGCAAAGCAGATAGAGGAGATGGATGAGATGGAGGAGGGGGAGGGGGAGGAGGATGAGCACAAGGAAGAAGAGGAGCACAAGGAGGATCACGAGGAGGAACAGAAGGATGAGCAGAAGGGAGAGAAGGAAGAGGACCAAGAGGAAGAGGACCAGCATGGTAACCAGAAGAAAGAAGGGGAGCTGGTCGAGGAGCTCTTCAACGACGACGACGAGGAAGGTGGTGTTTCCCTCGACCTCGTCTGGCAAGACAACTAACTCCCCTGGAGTCTGGACGCCAGCCAACCAGCCGCCTAAGAAGACAGGAAAACGGCGTACTTTTGGATTGGAAGATTTGGTCTTAGCCCGAGAAGCTGAACATGCGGGACTAGATTGGAACTATACGAGTTGCAATCGTCTTTATGATATCTTGAGAAAGAAAAAAAAGCATGTACAGTTTATATGTAGTTTCTCTTTTTTTTCCCACTCGCTGCATGAAGACACTGGCTGGTCTAATGTAACTTTACTTTACTTTACTCTACATAACTCAATTCAACTACACTACACTACACTCCAAGACTTCCTTCGTGTCACACGCCCTTTGCCGTCATCCGTCTGCACAACTGAAACCAAACAAAAACGCACCCTCGTTATATAACTAGTTACAGCTATTATATAACTACAACTAATACAACAACAACAACAAGACGCAAATTGCCATGACTCAACCCGCCTTCTCAGCCAACAAATCCTCAATATGGCTATTGAGCCAATACTTGCTCAGCGTCTCAAGCGGCATATCACGGGCGCCGGTAATGGTGCCTTTGCACTGGCTCGTCTTGCACAGACACTCAAACGGCTGGGCCATACTCCACTCTGTGCTGGGGTAGAAGAACGTGAGTTCGTCGCCGGGCGTGAGGCCAGGCCCGCGGTCGCTAACGCGGACTTCCCAGCGGGCCATGTCGAAGACGAGGCTGGGACTGCAGCTGTGGTTGATGTAGACGAGGTCGCAGTTGAGTTCGATGTGCAGGTCGCGCGAGGCTTGGACCGACGAGTAGGCGACGGGCGCGGGCGTCGGGTTGGTGATGCGGGCGAAGAGGGCGCCGGGCGGGAGCGTCACGAGCGAGACGGAGCGGCTGGTGAAGGAGCCGGGGTGGTGTTCTACGCGTAGGAGGCGGGTGAGATCGGGCTGGACCCAGGCGGGGATGTCTGAGGCGCCGCTACTGCTGCTGCTGTTGTTGTTGTTGATCGTAGACGTCTTGCATGTCGTTGCTGTTTTGCAATTGGTGTGGGCACCGCTCGTCGCGCCCGGCACGGCTGACGGGGACATGGTGCACGCTGGGAGATCGCGTCTTGGAAATAAAGCCAAAGTATGACTGTGTTTCAGTCACTTAGATCTTCACGAGAGTTTGCCAAGACGGGTTGCAAAGGAAATGAGGGCGGGAAGAAGGGAGGGGGGGAGGGGGGGGGAAAGACGAGACAGTCAGTCTTTAGGAATTTTCGTCACCGACAAGGAGTGTCTAGCTATGGCTCAACTACCGTGCCTTGCACGTTACTAGGCCTGCACCAAGGCGCAGTTTTTCTGCCTCTGTGTGGGGATATCATGGCTTGGTTCCATGTTGCCGAAGGGCCTAGGGGGGAGGGGGTGTGGTTGGATGTGGGCATTCCGTAATTCTGGCCTTTTAGAGTTGATGAGATGCGGACTAAGGCCGAAGGCACATAGGCAATTAGTAGCGTGGTCTCAACGATTGCATAAGGGTATTACGCGCCAGAGTCTGACCACGGGGCGAGTGGATTGGGCAACGGGTGAGGTAGGGCAAGGTTTTGGACATCTGTCGCTTCTTGGGCATGGTGGGGGTACAAAGTGACGTGGGTGTAATGGAGGCACGACAGTTCTCCGGCTTAGCATCGCGCTGCCGAGGTACGTCAGCCCAGGCACAAGCGCCTAGTTCTAAAGCGTGTTAGTCTCCGTGGTCGCTTTGACTTCTGAGACGTCGTCCGGGGGCTGTTGTAGCTGTTTTTTTTTGTGGTCCATGAAGGCTAACGGGCCGCAAGGTAGCATGCTTCATGTGGTATTACGTTGTGTTTTCTGCAAATGAAAACCGTCCATTGACGGCTGCTTACTTTGTGTACGTCTGCTCTTCCGGCACACCAGACTCTTCACCATCGATTCGTGCGCCCTCCAAGCCCATCTTGCTCGTGTCGTATCCATTGGCCGAGAGGTATTCCCTAAACTTGATGTCCTCTTGGTCAATCGTATCCTGTCCAATGTGGGGAAGCAGCAACACCAAGGCAGCCGCCAGAAAGGCCAGCGATGACGCTACGAAGAAGGGGTTCCGCCCGGCCGCAATTTCGTCATTGCCTGCAGCTTTCTGGATAGCATCGAGTGCGTAAGAGCCGGCAAAAGCTCCAATCTTGCCTACTGCAGCTGCGATACCGTAGTACTGTCCTCTGGATGCTGTTGTTAGCTTCTGGGCATGGTGCACACCAAAAAGAAATTTTTCCCAAGACATACCGAATGCCAGTAGCGCAAGTCTTGGATGCGACCAAACCAATGTTGTCTCCAGGACCAAACTCGCCGAGCGCCAGGAAAATACCGTATACAACAACAAACCCAGCAACATTCTCAGGCTTACTCAGCCAGGGGTAGCATCCAGCCATGATGAAACCGACGATGCCTTGCAAGACGACCCCAATACACAAAGTCTTTTTGGGGCCCATGGACGGCATATCGGCGACAAAGGCACCTGCAAGGCAGCCCGGCATGTAGAAAAAGTTGATGAGAATGTTCCAGGCCAGACTCTTCCACAAGGGCGCAGACTTTCCCAGCAGGTTAGCCAGGATGGATGTTGCGTAGATGCCAAACGAGTAGGCGCTAAAGTCGTATATGAACCAGATGAGACTGACAATGGTGAGACGGAACCAGTAGTACTTGATGATTAACAGCCATGGGGTTTGGGCCTTGGCCAGAGACTCGCGCTTGAACGCTTCTGGTTCCTGGAGTTTGAGACGAAGGTAAAGCAGCGAAAGAGGGGGTATAATGCCAATGCCCAGACAGACGCGCCAAGCGACTCGCAGATGGTTTTCGCCTGTGATGACGACGACGACCGTGGCGACGATTGCGCTGATGAAAAAGGCCAAGTCGATTTGGACGTTGGTGAAGAGGATAAACCACTTGTTTCTTGAGCCCTCCTTGAGCTCGCCCGTCGACTCGGCACAGCCCACGCTGCCGGCTGGATATTCTCCGCCGATGCCTATAGCAAGTTAGCTTCTGTAGTCAGCAAGCGGCATTTCACCGTCTTACCAATTCCCAGGAAAAAGCGATATACCACCAGCGCCGTGAGCAGACCACTTGGGCTACCACCGGCTCCATACGAAGCGGTACCCAGTATCGCAAACAGGATGATGATAATCGTCGACGCCATCAAAGACCATTTTCGCGAAAAATGATCAGATGTGTAGCCGAAAAACAGCATGCCGACGACGGTGCCTGCAAACGTAATACTCGAAACATTGGCCTGCGCCGAGGACGTCTTGTACGAATCAGGGTAGATTGTCTTGAGCATGGTGTTTACAGGCCCGATGATCTACACGTGGATTAGCCTTTTGTTTTCTCGCCATGTTGTTTCATTCATCCAAGGGCGCGTCTGGGCCAGGGTCCAGTTGTCGCGTCGGGAGTTTGGTTTCGCTTTTTGGGTCGAACCGTACATTGTTGAGGTATCCATCACTAAAGAGACCAGCACCACAGGCAATAACGGGCCACAGGCGTTCCCAGCGGCCTTTCTCCGTCCTTGCGACACTAACGCGACGCTCGGCGTCCTTCTCCGTGGTCTCGCGTTGGACTTCTGCGGCAGAAGCCATGGCTGAGGCTGCGCGTACGCCGTCGCGAAGATGTGCTCAGGTAGGTAATATTGTCGTCGCGCGATTTCTTGCGAGTCGCCACGTGAAGGGCCGTTTGATTGCAGAAAGACGCCGTTGTACGAGGAACAAAGCGAGAGTTTTTTTTTTCTGTGAGCGCACAGCCCAGTAGTTATCGGTCTCTCTTTTCTTCAAATGCGATCCTTGCGGAGATGCTGAATGGTGCCGCTGCTGCGGGGCCATGAAATGCCGTGTGATCAGCCTCTTGCTTCAGGCCAGGCTGGGCCAAGTGTAGACGCAGACCCAGGCGCCGTGGCCAGTCAGAGGGCGGCAAATATGCCACAGGGTGTGTCTGTCAGTGTGAGTGGCGCAGATAGAACTGAATCGTGGCACTGAACGACTCCTGAAGTAGCAGGTGTCAACATCCGGCACGCGAATACCGAGACATGGTCGTCGTCAGCCGGGGGGATCCTCGAAGGCTCGACTACTTACTCATCACTCACTATCCGGAGGAGGTTGTGCGGCCGCGGCATCAGATAACAGAACAAAGCCTCCTCGGCCCATGGTCGTCGTGCATTTGGGGCCTGCGAACAGAGCGTCGTCTTCTCCAGCCACGGATGCCAGTCTTTTGCATGGTGCGTCATCATCACCAAAGTCAAGCTTTTGCCATGCTTTGTTGGAGCGGTGCCGAAGCATCAGCACTGGACCGGATTGAGCAGCTAGTGCCGACGCCACATGAAGCTTGACCGGCCAATGCCAGGCTGCACGTGACGTGCTGCACGTGACATGTACCTTCACCCCAGCCACTCGGCAAACTCGACTGTTTTGATGGACGACATCTGCGCCTGTGTGAGAAAGCTGCTATCTCGATCATCTGTCCTCGGCATGGTACGTACCTGGCGCATTGTACAGATACCCTGGGTTGACACCCCAGGGCTTATGAAGCGACTCTCGCTGCAACAAGCCGCCGAACGCCCGAAGAGCGACCCTTCTCCCAGCCAAAAAACAGGCCATTGTGCACTTTTTTCCCGAGTAGATCGACCGCGATCAGAGACGACACGCACAGGGACTTGATCGATGCATCGGGGGCGCGATGAACCATTGCTGGTTCAGGGATGATTACGACGTGTGGCGATGGCAACGGGGGACCGTACACAACCGGCACGTGGGGCAGCTTCTAGTGCTGGTATGAATGCTGTTCCGAGAAGCACGCCGCCCAAGACTACGCCGATGCAGACAAGCGTCTATCGAGCAGAAGGCATCATGCGCAATATGCCCAGATGGTGTGTCCCGACATGAGGCCGAAACATGGGGGCACCATCGCTACACGATAGCCTCATCGGCCCGAACGGCGCGCGGCCGAGCCACCCACCGAGCGGCAGTTTCCAGCCCGGCCTGGGGGGTGCCACGACGACGTATTACCTATCCACGGTTTTTCTTTTCCGCAATCTCTCCACGTGGGGCTTGCAATTATACTACATACCATCTATGCTGGTCGACGCTGATGCATTAGCAATTATATTTTTTGGGGGGTTGCTTCGTGTGGGCGTGGCGGACAGAAAAAAGAAACAGGCAGGCAGACATGTCGGCATGCTGCTGCAGGGTATCAAATGAAAGAACGACAAAAGCCAATGCATGCATCCCCATCCCCTCCCCCCACCATGTCTCTCCCCTCCCCCCCCCCGTAGCTCCACCTTACTTCGTATCAGACGGCTTCATGTTCTCAAACGGCAATGGTGACGTCGGAGCACTCGTCGCCTGAGCACTCGTCGCCTGTGCACGAGCGTTGGCTCGGTCCATTTCCGCAAACCAGTCGTCACTGTCTTCCCGCGTCAGGCTCTTTGAACTCTGGTTCTCGCGACTGCATGTCCGGTATAGGTGGTGTAGAGAGTCTTGGCTTGGACGGGTGCCAAAGTCGGCAAAGGAATTCCCAATCGACGAGGCATTGCTGGGCGAACGGCCGGTATGGCCCAGCCCTGCAGACCGCACTGATAGAGACCCTTTGCTTGGCTTTCGGTCGTGGGTGCTTAGCGAAAGCTTCTCGCCAGACTTGCGAGTGATGTGATCCGAGACCCTCGTGACGACGCCCATCTTGTTTTCTCCACTTGGTGTGCTTTTTCGGTCGTTCAGGCTAATGCCACCGTTGGAATCAAAGCTCTCATGCCTCGTCACGTCCTCGACACGAATCTCGACTTCGTTGACGACAAAGATCTTGTTGGATGCCAGCGTCGCAATGGCGGGCCAGAAGATGGGGATAGAAGCCGTGATGATGGCGAAGTTGACCTCCAGAACGGCAAAGATGTACACGAGCGGCGTATAGAACGACATGTCAATCACAGGCACCGTACCAGCGCGGTTGACTGAAAGAGCAATGATGCGGCCTATTGCCACTACTACTGCACTGGTTGGCCGTCAGCATCGTCCTATTCGCTCCAATCCATCGGCTATGCACAACGTACCTGGATCCCATAATGAACAAGCCAATCAACCCCGCTCGGCTCTTGCCTGCAATCCTCAGTGCAGTCATGAATGGAACTGGCAGTAGCAGCACCAATATGTCGAGCACCGAGTTGCTAACAGCATGGCCCAGAAACATGGCGAAGAACTCCTCCGGGTCCTTGCTGCCCCAGCCAATGCATTTACCTGGCACCAGCGGATCCCAGTTTTTTGCAATGGGTCTGCATGAAAAGAGTGCGAGGGGAAAAAAGGTCAAGCCCCACGCACTACACACGGCAATCATGCCCCACGTGAGACGCCGCGAGAGGTGATATATGCGGGTTGAAGTTGATGGTGCAGTTTCGGCAAACAGCCGCAGATACTGAAAGAGAATCGACAACTTGATCAGGGTCGAACTAGCAGCATATGCAGCGTTGGTGGAGTAAATGTGCTGCGTCCAATGTCAACAAAAAAAAACACATTCAACATGTTCAAAAGCGATTCAATACCTTGAAATAATTGACGAGATGTGTCCAGTCCAGCGTCCACAGGTGCAGACCTAGGCCATCTTTCGGCACTACACACACACAGCACGGTCAGCCAGCTGCGCGGATTGGGCCGGCTTCGGGGGGGCACACGTACTCCGACACACCATGATATCGCCCACAAAGCTTGCAATGGCTGCAAGAACGACAAAGAAGTCATCCCAGCCCCAGAGCCGATCCTTGAGACGAACCCATAACCGCAGGCACACGGTGAGAATGGCAACGCCCTAGCTGATGTTAGTTGAGATGTTCAAGAAATTCATGGATAATTCAGGAATGCCGCATACCAGGAAAGCAATCGTTATTCCCAAGATGGTAGCGGGTTGGTTCAGAGTCGGTAGATGAGCATTATCTGGGTGATTCTTTGGATTTGTAAAGTAGTCGGTGTTGTTGCTCATGGTTACTTTGCTCGCCCTTTTTTTTCTTCTTCTTGGATGCCTTTTGAAGAGTCGTACTTGGATGGGGCAGTGCGGAAGAGCGGATTTGGTGCGTATGGTTGATATTAACTAGTAGTAATGGAACTCCATTACGGGGGGGGGGGTTTTCTTGCCAGCCTTGGGCAAAGAGAAAGAAGTCGGAGGTGAAGCAGGGGGGGAGGAAACGGGTAGCTCTTGGGTAGGGTCCAGATTATGGAGGCAGGTGAGGCTGCACGTCTGCCGAGGAGACATGGTGACCTAATACTTAAGTCCTAACGGGTGGGCCATCCCAAGGCGGATGTCAAGGTCATGACCCGCATGCGTTACACCTCCCTAAAGCACATGGTGCAACCCCTGCTGTCCCGCATGGAGGATCAAAACTGGGCCATGCAGCTAGCGGCAGGGAGCGCCTGTACAAGTCCGAACCCCCTGCCGTGATAGGTTGTCACACAGGGCTTGCCACTATGGCTATCATGAGACGCCGCCATCCGTGCTCTCCGTAAACGTTTTTCCCTTGAACGACGGGGGCTAGTGCTCAGCAGCGTGGCGGCCCACTAGTTACAGTAGGCCATCTGGACTCGGACAAAGACACCCCCTCTAAAGATATCTAGGACTAGTAGTAGTAGTAGTGTGTCGTTTTAGGGGGGGCTGGACACATGGCAACTAGGAGCCTCCCGGCTGGTGTTTGGTATGCTGATTTGATCCGACTCGAGTGACGGGAGATGGCGAGCAACAAGGTGGTGTGATGGCGAGCAAAAAGCGCACAATGGTTGCTGGCATGGCGGGCTTCTATTGGCACCCCGCAAAGCAGTCTTGTGGACAGTCGGCTGAAACAAGATAGGCCAGAACTCTGTTGCGTTTGGGAGGAAAGTGGAAGCGTGGATGGGGGGCACGAGTTCTTGTTTTTTTCTTTCTAGTGCTGCGCGCTGCATGCGACTGGCGTGCTGCAATGTCGCTTAGTTGGGAAAAAGAAAGGTGCTAGCCGGTCGCCTACACGTTCGGAGGGCGAGGACAAGCGACGATGCTGGCGATAATGGCCTTGTATAGCCAGGGAAGGCAGAGGCGCCGGCGACGATCCAAACCTTGGTATGGTAGTTCCCGCTGGTGGCGCCGTTGGGGGAGGACGAGGGAGGATGGGGAACAGAGAGAGACGTGCGCCGTCTCTCTCTGGCAAGGCAATCTTGTCTGATACTGGCACTGGCACTGGAGACGGGGGCCCACCGGGACGAGTGAATTTGCGTATATACGACTTTGGCCCTGGCCCCTTGTCAGCAGCGTTTCACCACGTCGATCCAAGTTGAGGGGGGAGCATGTCGGCCGCACCGCGTGGCCAAACCAACCGTTCGCATCACAAGCGCGAGTGTCGAGCCAATGACACTGTACAGGGCACGCTCACAGCAGGCGGACAGTCGTGATGGGTGGAAATGCGGTTGACGTTGCTTGCCTGCCTACTAGCCAGGCACGCGCTCGTGTGGACGGCTGGCGGGCGTGTGGGCGGCCATGGTGGGCTGTGGGCGCGACGAAACGGCGCTTCTGATGCGGGCCGGTCGTGGCCCATTCCAATGCCCACAGCCCTTCCCATCTTGACTGTGGGTGCATCACGTTAAACCTCCTATTCGCCGTGACGGTGCCCTGCAGGGGAGTGTCGGGGGTGTAAACCATTCGAGCCTACGCTTCGGGCGCAGGTCGGCAGACAAACGTCGTAGCGCTTCCCACGACACAGGCACGCCATGTCCAAGAGGCCATCCGTCGTCCTTGGTCCGCGCGGCAGCCATGACAAGCACAAGCAATCGCCATGTATACGGACGTGACTGTCAAAAGTTCTTGCTGAGGCGCGGATCCATCGGACCGAATTCTCGTCATAACCTTTCCACGATTAATTCAGCGTCTAGGTACAGTAATGTAGCCTAATATAGTTAGCCTACTACTACAAGTGTACACTTTAGGAGCTATTCTTTTCTCTAAACTTATATTTTAAAGCCTTTTAGTTGCAAATAAAGTACAATTTATAGTCTTTGGCTGTATTTTTTGGTGGTAACCAAGCAGCCCCTGTCAGCAAGAACTTTTGAAAGCCACCTCTGTACTTACTTATTGCATGTGCCCGATGGGGAGACGGGAGACTTGGCACCAGGTGGAGAGCGGCCTTGTCCAAGCTGTCGCACGCAGGAACCGCCAAACAAATGCGCCGAGTTGCTGACTCTTGCTGCTTGTCCACATGAACACAGTCCTGCCAGGGCCCGCGTTTTAGTGGTGTGTGTGTGTGTGCTCGCTATCCATGGGCTGGCGGCAGCAAAGACGACGAGACGATTGGTGTAGGATGCAAGGGGGGGGGGGGCGGTTGAGAGGGCGCTGTGCTAGGTGCAGGCGAAAAGGGCGGCGTACGCATACTACTAGGCACTAAGTATCTCCATGCATAGCTACAGACATACGTACACCCAGTACCTACATACATACAGACTACGCCTACATGCTGATAATGGCGACCACGGCGACCATTCGTGCTCGCCAATCTCAAGCCGCTGTGTCGCAAATGAGGGGAGGCGATCCAGATCTCACCATGTCTAGCCCTTTCGGTTGCCTTGCTTTGCAATGGCCACCTGGCGAGACGGTGCATTTCACACATGGCTCGGCCAGTTACTAGGAATCAATCTGCCCATCCCATCCATGGCCTTCTCACGCGGATGCTGCCACATGTCACTGTCCTGGGCTCCACCGGCACCCGGCACTAGGGTGCATGCAAGCTACCACTACTCGACATGACAACCATGTGTTTTTTCTTCTTCTTCTTCTTCTTCTTCTTCTTCTTCTTCTTCTCCTTGTTGTTGCTGACGGGCCTCAATTAATCCGCTCAATCGCCTGGCCGGACCTCCGTCGGTGCGAAGAAGCAGAGAAGGGAAAGAAAGAAAGAAAGAAAAATTCCTTGGGCGTCTGCATGAGGGCGACGTAAGTATCCGAGTGTGTTCCGTCCACCATGCCGTGCTTATCCCGCCAATAGCTAAATCAATTCGACTTTGTACGGTTTGAGCAACCTCTTGAGATTACCGCTTACTTTTTCCACCAAGACCATGTCCTTGCCAGGCCATATAGACGATGAGACAAGACTGATATAGCACAAACCCTATCGGTACCGTACCGATCCGCGTGCTCCGGCGTACGTGCCTGGGTAGGGCAGTGTAATAGATATTCGTATTGCCAATGCCATGATGGTGTTGAATGACACAGGCAAAAAGATGAGACTGCATGCACCTACTACTGTATGTCTACCGTATGTAGTACTTATGGCGGCACTCGGGACTCGGGACTCGGCCCATTTGAGCGCCATGCCCTGAACAGGCGCTTTTCCGGAGCCATGCTTGGGAACCCATGGAAGGATGACGCCAGACTGCAAGTGACAGTGGGTCGCATCCCAGCCTCTGCCGTGGCCAGGATCGCCCGATCCCCTTGATGCTGTGATTGTTCTGGCGGTGCGGCTGCAGTCACGCTGTCTTGTGTTTTTCCGCACGCCTTTTTGTTATTGCCATGGCCGTCGCCCAAAGTGGACTAGCGTGCATATGGCACTACACCCTCTCCGCCAGGAAAAAGCAGGTGGGCGTCGTCGGCGTCTGCTGCATGTGTTAGCCAAGCGGTTTAAATTGCCATTGGCCGGCGTTGCAAATGGAAAAGATGCACGTATCGGCCGACATGCTGCTCGCTGTGTAGGTGTAGTGTACTAGCTATTCCTTCTTCTCATCAACTAACTGGTGCTTTTGCCGTCTAGCCCCGGCACACAGCGGCATGGGCGGACGTCTTAGCCGTGCTCAGCGAAAAGAAAAAAAAAGAGCAAAGATGGCACGGCAGAAGCCATGGCCTTGGTCCAGCTGCAGCTCCCAGCCATGTACGCACTCGTACAGTAGAGCGATACTATTAGTCTCCGCCACCAAATTACGCCGCCACTGCGCACAGCATCCAAGAGCGCGGCCCGCCTACTGGTCGCCGGCCTGGGCCCGTCCACGACGTCTTTGTGGTGATTCAAGACCCGCTCCACGTGCCTCCACGTGCGATAAGAACCCACATTATTCCTCTCGTCAAACCCCATGGTTTCAGCATGAATCCTTTGTGCAGAGCAGTCTCTTTATTCCAGACTATTCACGCCATACCCACACAGTGGCTCCCTCCACGTTTCTCTCCGTCTCTCTACATGTACTTACGTACAGAGAATGCAGAGATAACTACTCGACCCCGCACTCTACCTACCAACTCAGCTCCACCGTTTCAAAATGGACATCGGCATACACCTACATGCACACGCTGGTTTCACGCTTTCCCAGGATCATGACATGGCGGGGTATCCCACATGGCGTTAGGTCTTGGTACATGACATGTCACACACATATAGCACACGACATATACGACACACTATTGTGGTGACGCCATTGCCGTTTAACCTAGTTGGTAACAAGTCTTTGCTATGTTGCTCTACACCACCGTAGCACTGACACATGGAGTCTCGTATACTTACACCTCGACACACGTACTAACCTTGGTCATACACCTACTCCCACCTGCATACGCTCGCCCGCTCAACACGGCAAAACAACTACATCTACCACCCGACCTTTTCCGTTCAGACAAGGCACCCCAACCCCCACCATAGCAACACTAGCACGAACACTAACAACAATAACAATAACCCCAACACCAACAAGTCTAGTTGATTTTTCTTTCACCCATGCATCCACACACAACCACATTTCCAAGCTAGCCAGTCAACTCCACCAACTTGACCACCTCGGTTCTAAAAAAAAACAGACACACAGACACACACATCGATTGATGGCCAAGTCAATAAGGCCCACCGTGTCACAGAGTAGTAAAAGCGGCAAGTTTAGCCTAGAGCCGAAGAAAAGCAAATGGAGGCGGGAAAACGTGAAAAGGAGAAGGGAGGAGGGAATATGGGGGTTCATGTGCTTTGGGGTGAGTATGGATGGATGGATGGATGGATGGCTTGGAGATGTGGTGTTGAGTGAGTGAGTGAGTGAGTGAGTGAATGAGTGAGTAAATAACCAAGTAAGATGTAAGTAAGAAGATAGATAGATAGACAGTATGCATAGGTAAGTGAGGGAGTGAGGGAGTGAAATACATCAGAACAGTGTACAAACATGGGTTTACTGTACTAACGCCGAGGGCACTGTTACACTTGCAGTCATGAAAACAATGATTCACATATCGAGTTCAGCTAATTTAGACTGAGGAGTTATTCTATAAAGACGTCTAGTGAACGAGCATAGTTATAACTAGCTGTATGTACGCACAAAAGCACACACTTGTTTCCTTGACAAACCACAAACACCAAAACACACATCATGTACATGTCGACAACACAAACCTCACAAGCACTTGGAACGGCAAAACGGAAAAACAGGAATTAGCTCACTCACTACCGCAATGAGTATCTGTATCACTAGAAAAAAAATGAAAGAGTCGAACAAGATGCAATTCCTCGCCCACCCACACGCTCCGCTGTTTTCCTTATCATTCAATGGTACATGACTTCTTCTCCCCCCACCACTACCCCCTTTGACTCTCATGCAGTCTTCTTCCACTGTGCCCACACGCCCAACAACGAACTCGTGGTTCCCGCAAGACCGACAATACCGTCGTCCAGGTCAACCCAGCCGAGAGCCGAGCTGGGAATGGTGATGTCGCAAAGATCGCTAATCAGCTGCACCTTGACAGCATTCAGCTCCACCTGCACCTTCTTTGTCTCGACCACCTTCTCCGGGTCCGAAGAGGCCGTGAGCGCCTTGGAGCGCTGCAGCAGGTTGTAGTACGAGTACAAGCCCGAGGCAATGGAAAAGGAGATTCCGGCGAACCACGCGCGGTAGCCCTCGCGCAGCAGACGAGGGGCAAATGAGGATTTGCGGATGGCGGTTGCGTCGAGCTGCGTTGTCACATGTTAGCTTGCTGTGGCGCATTGGATTCCTCGGCCAAAGAGACGTACCACGCAAGCGTTATCGCACAGCATGTAAAGTGCATATCCCAGCTGTCTTCCAATGGCGGTGAACCTCAGGACGGGGTCCATGGTCTTGGAGTCGGTAGCAATGGCGGCAGCCTTGAAGTGCTCGACAAACTTGCCCACGCGCATCAACTTGCGCGTTGCGCCAAACTGCTTCTTGGTGGCATCGAAGGGGGCGATGGCCGACGTGGGGCGGTTGGTGCGGTACAGGTACCATGCCAGGAAGCGGGAGAAGTACTGCAGCGTTCGCAGCACTTTGTCGCGCCCGACTGTCTTTGCGTCAGAAGCGTCATGGGCATTGATAGCCAGGCTATCCGCTGGACGAGGCCATGGCCACAGAGCAACACATACCAGTTGTCGCAACAAACTTGAGGTAATGCGCCACCGTCGGGTGGTAAACTAGAGCGTCGGCAACCATGAAGACGGCTTTCCAAGGGTCCGGATATCAGGCTGAGCAGGTATCGCGAGGGCGAGGCAAGGACAAGACGGGCTTGGGCGTGCAGAAAGCGTCGAGACGCTGGTGGCAGAGATGGCGAGGGAGAGATGGCGAGGGAGAGGAAAAGCAGTGGGGTGGAGAGAATGGGATGGAGCGTCTGGGGAAGCGCAAGAGCAAAGTGCGGAGCCCGGTGCGGAAGCCAAAGGGAGTCGGTCGCTCGACGTGACGATTGCCGGGGAAAACGCGACCACCTCGGCAACTCGATCCGCACGTCACATTGTCGCTAGCAAATGGACGTGACGCGCCCGCCGTCGCCAAACACATGTCATGTCTTGCCTGCTGACTTGCCCATGGCTCTGGTGAGCGGCAGATGTCTCCTCCAACTCGTCGCTTGTCTTTGCTTTTCTTACTTTTGCTGTGCACGGCACTGCTGTCAGGGCAAGGGCAATGGCTGTTGAGCTGCCGTCCTGTAGCCTCGGTTTCGCTTGCTGACCCAGCATGCCCGCCAAGACGTATGCATCGCTGCTTTCTCACATTGCAAGCATCCAGTAATCTTGTCTAGTCGACATTCACTCGTATTCAGCCCTGCACACGGGTATCCTGTACATCTGCCCATGTCCTGTACATCGTACATGTCCTGTACATCGTACATGTCCTTCCCCCCTCATTACCCCCGAGAGATGCATCCCAGAACCACAGCGCCCACCCACCATACTACCCCCCCCCCTTCACACCTTGTAAAAACAAAACGCATGATAAAAGTCTGCAGCCTCCAGCTCCTCGTCTGAAGTCAGCAGCCGGCCCGTCGCACGATCCCTAACCTTCATGACTTCACTCAGCGGACCCAGGATCGGATCGTCCTTTTGCTCCTCCCAAATCTCCCTGAACGGCTTGCGGTATTGCAGCTCGAGGTTGAAGTCTTCGGCCAGCGCACGGAACGCCTCCCATGGCACAACGTACTCGGGCGCCTCGACAGCCTCCGTCAGCCAGTATGAATACTTCCACCCATACGGCGGGCGGAACGTGCCGTCGGGGGGTGTCTTGCCAGGAAACTTGACACTGTAGATGCTGTTGCCCCAGCTGAATCCTTCATCCTCAACCTCGCCATCTTCCTGCTCCTCCTTTGCCTTGTCCTTGTCCTTTGCCTCGGCAGCCTTGGCGCCATTCGCGTGCTCCGTCTCGCCGGGCTTTGGGCTGTCGAGGCTCTTTTCGGGGTCCCAGTCGTCTTCGTCGTCGCTTGCAAACGTCGGGCGGTCATCGTCGTCCTCGGCACCGCCATTCGTCTCCGGGGGCGCCGTGCCCTTGGCCTTGTGGTGCTCAATCACCTTTTGCGACAGCACGTCCGAGTTGGGAATGCAGCCAATGAAGCGCCCGCCCTTCTTCAGCGCGCCCGCCACGTTGCGTAGCATGCCCCTGGCTTTGGCCTCGCTCTCAAACGCATAGTGCATGCAGAACATCATCGTGACCATGTCCCAGCCACCGCCCCCCCAGCGCTGGCTCATAGCGTTGCCCTGTCCTGCACCGGCATCGATGCCCACCTCCTTGATGATGGGAATGTCCCCGAGCCACTCGCCAAAGCAGTCCTTGGCGTAGAACTCGGCGTGGAACAGACGTCGGTTCTTCCTCTGCATCTGCGTGAACCGCTCTCTGGCCTGCCGGATGGACACGTCTGCCGGATCGCAGCCAACGTAGAGCTCGACCTTTCTCGACTTCTCCCACTTGCCCAAGTCGCCGCCCTTGCCACACCCGACATCCAAGATCTTGAGGTTTCGCTCCTCGCCAATGAACTTTTGGATGATGGACGACTTGACCCAATTGTTGAAGCTGCGCAGTCCCTTGATCTTGCTGTCCGTGTTGCGCCACTCGCGGCCTCGCTCCGGCACCATATTGTAGTGCTGCTTGACGACATCATGCACGCCTCGCTGTGCAGCCTCCTCGTGTGCCCGTCTGGCAGCTTCTTCCTCTCGTGCTTGCTGTCGCCTGCGGGCAGCCTCTCGGTCGGCCTGAGGAACTCGCGCACCCGCTCCAGGGCGCTTCCGTTGGCGTGGTGGTGATCGAGACGGCGATCTCGACGGCGAGCGTGCGCGTTTCCTGCTGTCGTCGACGCCTGCCATTGTATAGCTCTTTATTTATGTTGCTCGTTTACGGGGATCTTGCACGTCCGACGCGTGCCTCAGGATACGCTTGGTTGTGAAATGGGCACCTTTGGGTCAGAGAGGATGAGGAAAAAAGGCCGGATGGGGAAAGCGAAGGTGGCTTGGATCCGGCAACGAGTCGGTACAAGTAAAGGAAAGGCATTGCCTGAAAGGCGCGGTTGCGCTGGTTGCTCTAGTCTCCGCGTTTCGACCATTCAAGGGCCGTGCGCGAGCTTGACCTGCGGAAGTTCAGCGGCGGGCACGACGGCCCCATCATCATATCAACCAACATCGCCCACTACACATCGCCCCCCCCTCCTCCGCCCCTTTCCCACCACACCGTCACCATCTCCATTTCACGCAACCAGCCAAGATGGGTGACCCGCAATTCGCAAAGTATCCCGACCTGCAGCTGTCGCAGCACATCTTCCAGCTCACAAATCCCGCCGCCTCGAAACAAGCAAAGCAAGCTGCCCTGAAGTCGGTGCAGGATGGCATCAAGGAGAACAAGATGGCGCCGCTGTACTGGTACCTCGCACACCCAACAGACGGCGTGCTCAATGCGTCTGGCGAGGGCAGCGTCGACCAGCCGAGCAAGAACCGGAGACCCTCTGCCAGCCTCGCGACGATGCTTGCCACGCGGACGCCCACGCTAGAAGTACCGCTGCCGTGGGACGAGAAGCTGTACGAGAGCCTCAAGGCCGAGTGCGAGAAGGAGCTGGAGGCGATACAAAAGGAGGAGGAAGAGGCAGAAGAGAAGGCGGGCGAGACAGAGGTGCAGGCCGCGCGGGGAAAGCGCGCGGAGCTGTACAACCGCATAGGCGACAAGGTACGTTGACGGGCGTCTCGGCCGTGATGCGGCCGTGTTGACAGCGAGTAGGACAAGGCCATTGCCAGCTACGAGGCCATCTTCGAGAAGACGGGCATCCTGGGCACCAAGATCGACCTCGTGCTTGGCTAACATGGCCATGTGCGGCAAGGCGACGGGTGCAATATCCACGGTGATTACATGTGCATGCAGACAGCTAGGCAAAAGGACCGCGTCTTGAGTCTCTTGTTGATTTGGTCTTGCATTCACCAGCAGTCTTTGCGCTGCTGTCGTCTAAGCCTACACCATCCCATCATCATTACACATGCATGCGCCCAAGCCACACGTCTAGCCACGCTCGCTTCCCCGCAGCCTGACTGCCTGCCCGTACTTCTGCAGCTTGGTGATGAGCTGGTCGCCCTGCTTGACCACGTCGGCGTACTGCTTGTTCTTGTCGTCGGGCCGGTTCGTCTCGATGATGCCCTTGACGCGGTCGATGGTGCAGGGGATGCGGTCGGCGGCGATGAAGCGCGCAAGGTCCCTGGCCAGAGTCAGCATACACTACAAGCACATCGTCTCCAAACACCCCACTTACTTGTCGAGAAAGTCCACAGTGACGCCAAAGTCCCGGGCCATGCTCTCCAGGCCCACCACGCGGTACGACTGCAGAAGCTGCTGGTACGCCCGCAGACGCATCTCGCGCACGTACCAGCCCCGGTGCTCGTACATGTAGCGATCCTGGCTGAGGAAGTTGGTCTCGACCTGGCCCAGAGCCCCAAAGAAGCCCTTGTAGTCGCCCTCGTACAGGCTCTTGACCAGCTTGGACAGCGGCGAGAAGTCGACGGCCACCTCTGTGTCTTGTGAGCCGCCAAGCGTCGTGAGGTTGACCAGTGTCGGCACCGGCGTTGCCGTCGAGCCTGATGCATCCGCCATCTCCTCGTCGCCCGCCGACGGCCCAGCCGACGCCTGTCCAGTAATGGCAGAGAGCTTCTCCTCCGAGGTACCGACAATCGCCTTGATCTCGGGCGCATCCACCACCTTGGACTTGAAGTCGACACGCTTGAGCGATACCGAGCCCGCGAGAATGGCGTAGACGACCAGGTTCGAGTAGCTGCACAGCTCGTAGCTGGTAAATGTCGACAGACTGTCGAGCAGCAGCGGCGCAGCCTGCGAGTGTGATCGGACAGTGAGGTAGTGTAGTCCCGTGTATGCCTTGAGGCGATTGCGGCGGTCCCAGTCACCGCCGCTCTCCACCAATGCGCTGGCCCGGTCGATCGACTTCTTTGCGAGTATCCTGTCGCCGAAGAAGAGGGCAATGCGTATTATGGCCCGCTATCTCCGGGGCGCCGCTCAGGGCGAGCATGGCTGCAATATGCGGTGAGGGCAGGCGGGTGGGGGGGCGGCGGGCGGCGGGCATAGGATTTGTTTTGCAGCGCAGACATGTGTTATGTATAAATACATATATAATATCGCGTCTTGCACGCCCACGCCCACACCCGCGCTCGCATTACATCGCCCGTTAGCAAGCTCTGCTCGCCGCAGCAGCCAAAGGGCCCACGCCAGATGTGGGGGGGATCGGCCCAGCACACGCACAAGCAGCAACCCAATGTCGCCGCCATCGGCTCGCGCTCTTTGCGCCCACGGTGGCAGAGCATGGCGCGCCAATGGCAGCGCCCGCTCAAGAGGTACTTTGCTTTTCTGTTCTCCTCCCGCTCGCACATACACATACGCTCTCTGCACGCCCGCTTATCAGATGGCCTGAAACTCTATACCCCTCGCGCCTGGGGCCGCGCTACCACGGGCGAGCGAGCGAGGGGCACAGGATTTGTCGTGGGTGAAGCACCGTGGGTGGGGCTCCACGCGCCTCAGCTCGAAAAATACAGCCCGTCTCTTGACGCAGCCTCGTCTTGGTGTTTCGAGTACGTTGCGGGATTTAGCATCGTACACAGCAGACGCTTTCTTCACCGGCGCTATAAGTCTCGCACCAGCTGGTTCCTGTGCTCACCACTCTAGTCCTGTACAGCCTCTCTTCGTCCCCCCGCCCGCACACACGCACCATCATGTCCAAGAAGGTCCTGAACATCGGCAACATCAACCCGCACGTCAAGGCAGCCCAGTATGCTGTCCGCGGTGAACTAGCCGTCCGCTCCGAGGAGTACCGCGCGAAGCTGGCCAAGGGCGAGGCCAAGGACCTGCCCTTTGACACTGTCATTGCAGCCAACATTGGCAACCCCCAGCAGCTCGACCAGAAGCCCATCACCTTCTTCCGCCAGGTGGCGAGTATACTCGAGAACCCGGGCCTGTTGGAGCACGAGGACGTGCTGCTCAAGAGCCTGGGCTACAAGTCAGATGTTCTCGAGCGTGCGCGGAAGCTCCTCAAGGAGGTCAAGAGCGTCGGTGCATACAGCCAGAGCCAGGGCGCCCCAGGCATCAGGCAGAGCGTGGCAGAGTACATTGAGCGTACGTACAGCAGTAACACGTCGAATCGCGGGGGTTTTCGCTGACAGCACACAGGACGAGATGGCTACCCGGCCAAGTTCGAGGACATCTACCTCAGCAATGGCGCTTCATCTGGCGTAAACACACTTCTCCACACCATCTGCGCAAAGCCCGAGACGGGAATCATGGTCCCCATCCCGCAATACCCCCTCTACACTGCCACTCTGTCGGTGCTCGACGCCCGCTGCGTACCATACTACCTCGAAGAGAAGCAGGCGTGGGGCACATCGCTCGAAGCAATCCGCTCAGCCTACGACAAGGCTATTAGTGAGGGCACAGACGTCAAGGCCATCTGCGTCATCAACCCAGGCAACCCCACGGGCGCCTCGCTGCCGGCCGAGGACATCAAGGCCGTCCTCAAGTTCGCCGCCGAGAAGGGCGTTGTTGTCATTGCCGACGAAGTGTACCAGACCAACGTCTTCATTGGCGAGTTCATCTCGTTCAAAAAGGCCCTGCGTGACCTGCAAAAGGAGTCGCCCGGCCAGTACGACCACTTGGAACTGGCCTCTCTCCACTCCGTGTCCAAGGGCATGGTGGGCGAGTGCGGGCACCGCGGCGGATACTTTGAGCTTGTTGGCTTCGAGCCAGAGGTGGCCCAGGAGATTTACAAGTTCATCTCCATTCAGCTGTGCCCGCCCGTGCTCGGCCAGTGCATTGTCGAGATGATGGTCAACCCGCCCAAGGAGGGCGAGCCAAGCTACGCGCTGTACAGGGAGGAGTATGATGGCATCTTCAACGGCCTGAAGCAGCGCGCGTATGCCCTGTACGAGGCGTTTAAGCAAATGGAGGGTGTCGAGTGCGACAAGCCTCAGGTCAGTACCGGTTGAACCGCCGCAGTCGGCCATGCTAACACGCATTCCAGGGCTCCATGTATCTCTTCCCCACCATCCACCTGCCAGAAAAGGCCATCCAGCAGGCCAAGAAGGAAGGCCGCGCCGCCGACGAGTTCTACTGCTTCCGCATGCTGGACGCGACAGGTGTCTGCGTCGTTGCGGGCACCGGCTTCGGGCAGAAGGAGGGCACTCTGCATTTCAGGACGACGTTCCTCGCGCCCGGCACCGAATGGACTGGCCGCATTGTCAAGTTCCACGAGGAGTTTATGAAGGAGTTCAAGTAGGCGGGGCGGTAGCGCAGCAACACGCCGGCAGACGGCGTAGGGTCTCGCCATGACGAAATAGACAAGTATGCCATGAATAGCATGACCCAGACTGCATGTCCAGCAGCTCCTCCAGCGCCTCCAGCGCCTCCAGCCCCTCTGCCACCCGGCCCTCGCCCGATTGCGATAAGCAGACGGGTCGGCCAGGTGGGGCGGGGTCGGGGCCGTTCCTTCCCAATCATCATGGCGACATCGCAACTGCCGCGTCTCGTACCTGAACGCACCCCGGCCTTGGCCCGTGCACATGACACTGGACATGTAGGTAGCTCCCCTACATCATCCACACGCGCTTCTCTTGCCCTCAGGCCGTCTCTCCCGCCTCCTGCTCTCCTGCTCTCCTGCTCTCCTTGTTCTTCCTATCGTCAGCTGTTCGTTCGTGCCACTTGCTTTTCCTGCGTTGCGCGTTTGTCCCTTTGCATACTCATCCATCTTACCATCCTATCAGACTGCCCTTTGCGCCAACAACGACATGGGTGCATCCCGCATCGAAACACTGCCCGATGAACTTCTTGATCTTATCGTGCAGCATGTCGAGAACCGCGCTACTCTCTACGCTCTCTGCTTAGTGTCGAGAGACATGAATCGCATCGCCACGGCGCGACTGTATGCCCATATTCAACTCGAAAAAGACGACTTTAGACATCTCCGTCCCCTAGCGCTGTTGTTCTGGACGTCTGCGCCTCACCGCCAAGTCGTGCGTTCGTTTGGTGTCCGCCATGCGTACGGCGGCAATCTGGATCCGTGGCCCCATCACCCAGAGTTGGATGCCATTATCAGCAAGAACCTCGAGCTGTACGTGAGGCCCGACGACCAGAAGCAGTGGTTCAACGAGGTCAGAGACGGCGCTGATTCGACGCGCATTGCGAGTCTGCTGTTGAGAAGCCTGCCCCATGTGATGACGATGCAATTACCTGGCTTCGAATTGGTGGATCCTGCAGGGAGAAACATGGGGCTTGGTTCGCGGCACACTGTCTGGTAGGAGCACAACGAGAGAGGTGCCGTGTTTGAGGCAATTCGACGCTCAATGGCAAAACGTTCAATGCTCGTGGTTTACAGCTCGAATACATACACTGCACATGCGCAGTAGCCGTCGATGGCGGAATTCAAGAATGTTAATCGTGCGTCTACTACTGGTCCCTGGCTGCCTGGTGCCATGTACGACAAAAATGAGACCCTTGGTACCGTCCCTCAACCTGCACAAACGCGGCCATTGGTTGGTAATAACTAACAGCCTGAACCGACAATCTCGCGCGGACCCTGTCCATTTTTGGAAATAAAAATCTTCCAGCCGTTGCAGACGAATCACTCGACATGTATATGCTTATCCTGAACAGTGGCTATGGCGAATTGAAATGCTCTCTTGACCGTGGTTAGCACGAGAAAGCTTTCGGTCACCATATATGCAGGGAATATACAAAACTAAGCAGAATGATGGGAGCCTTCAAAGTCTCTTCACTGACAATATCTTTTTTAATTCACAGAACAGCCCTGGCTGTTTCTCCATCATGTCTTTCCCTACTGTCCTCGTCGAGAAAGACTCGGATCTTGTCACACCTGAGGAAGAATCGGGCAAAAGGCCTTCCTCAGAAGCCTCCCCGGCCTCGTCCCCACCTCCGTCCTACTCGACCCCTCCGACCAAGTGGACACGTTCCTCCGGCTTTTGGCGATCCTTTGTCGCGATATGCATTCCCCTCCTTCTCTCGGCCCTCGAGGGCAGCATCACGAACACTGCCCTTCCCACCATCTCCGACGCGCTCAACCTGGGCACGAAATTCTCTTGGGTAGCCACGGCCTTTCTGCTCGCGAGTACCGTTTTCCAGCCCCTATACTCACAGCTCGGGGACATGTGGGGACGAAAGTATCCCATGATGGCTGCCATTACCATTTTCGCCATCGGCAGCGCCATTTGTGCCGCAGCACAGTCGGGCGCCGTGCTCATCACTGGAAGGATTGTCCAAGGTCTAGGTACGGGCGGAATCGATCTTTTTGCTGAAATGATACTCTGCGATATCGTCCCGCTGCGGAAGAGAGGCCCTTACCTAGCAATCAAACATGCCGCTTTCGCTCTTGGAACCACTCTAGGACCGCTTCTTGGTGGCGTGTTTGCGGAGCACGGGTGGTATTGGTGTTTTCTTATCAATCTCCCCGTCTGCGTCATCTCGCTCGTCATCATGTGGTTCTGGCTCAGTGTGGGCGGAGGCGCGAGCGACGTCAAGGGCTCGCTTGGAGAGAACCTGAAAAAGGTGGATTACATTGGCAGCGGCATCCTGACTGCCTCTGTCGTAATGCTTCTCGTTGCTCTCAGCACCGGCGGAGCACCTCAGCCGTGGAACCACCCATCCGTCGTCGTACTCATCGTCTTTGGCATCCTCGGTCTCATCTCCTTTGTCATCTGGGAACGCTCGCGCTTCTGCAAGCACCCAGTCATGCCGCCACACGTCTTTTCCAACCGCACGACAAACATCTCGTTTGGCCTGACCACGGTGCATGGCTTCATAACCTACGGCTTCCAATTCTACCTGCCGCTCTTCTTCCAAGCCGTCAAGGGGTCGTCGCCCACGGAATCCGGCATCAAAGTCATGCCCACGACACTCATCATCGTGGTGCTTGCCGCCGTCGGTGGGCCCATCCTCAGCATCTCTGGCAAATACAAGCCCATGCACATTGCGGGCTTCGCTTTGGTAACGCTCGGCCTCGGTCTCTGCACCACGCTCAGCCACGCCACGTCCATGGGCCTCTGGCTCACGTTCCAATTCATCACTGCGGCCGGCCTGGGAATTGTGATCCCCACCATGCTTCCCGCCATCCAGGTCAAGCTCCCGGAGGACTCTACGGCCGCGAGCGCCGGCGCGTGGGCCTTCTTGCGGGGCACGGGCTCGCTGTTTGGCGTTGCGATTCCCGGCGCCGTCTTCAACGTGCGCTTTGCTTCACTGCTCTCGAGCATCTCGTCTGGGGCTGCGCGCGACCGCCTCTCCCACGGACAGGCGTACCAGCGCGCGACAGCGTCCTTCATCAAGAAGTACGGGGCGACGCCCGAGGCCAAGGCCCAAATCGTAGCGGCGTTTACAAAGGCGCTGGAAAGCGTGTGGATTGTCTTTGCCGTGCTGGCCGCCCTCGCCTTCTGCGCCACTTGTCTGGAAAAGGAGTACAAGATGCGCAAGGAGTTGAATACCGCATATGGACTCAAGTCGGCGAAGCACCCCAGGAGTCAGTCAGGGAGTACGCCCGTGTCTTCGGCTTCGTCGACGTTGGCTGGGCCAACGGTTCAGACGGGTGGCCTTGTACATGGGGACGCTGAGGCAGATGAGGACCAACAAGGTGACTGTGATGTAGAAAAGGCTAACGTGGGACGCAATAATGCTGCATAGTTTTAACCATGTATGTGTGTTGTTCTGAAGTTTAGTCCTGGGGGCACACCCAGCCTCTGTCAGTTAAGTAGCTGAGCTGAGTCGCGCGTCTTTTTGTGTGTTGTGTATATTGTAGATTGCTTTTGCTTTGGGCAGTGCTCTTTTGTCTTTGGCCTTTGACCTCCTCCTCAACCCCCCAACCCCACCCCCTCCTTTCCTTTTTGCTTGGCAACATTTAGACTATTAAACCTTTTTAATCCACCTGTTCTCTCCCACATACCATGCAAATGAAAATGTTACATGCTTGGATTGTCATATGTAGTCGTAGTAGTAGCAGCACTACTTCTCAAACTAAGCATCCTCCGTCTTGCATCCTCACACCTCAACCTCGCACTCGCATACTCTCTCTTCTTCACACGCAGATCCAGTCGCCTGAGATTATATTCATGTGTTGCGCGTTGTGCAGCACGGAGATTCTGCTGCTCTTCCTCTTCCTGCTTAACTTCTGCTTCTGCTTCCTCCTGAGTACCGTGTGTGTCCTCATGCAGGTTGGTTTCCTCGAGACTTGCTAGATCAACCTGTGTATCTTGCTGTTCATCACAGAAGCTCGTTCCGGAAAGATAGTACGGCGATTGATACAGCTGGGACGCTGGATTCGGGCCCATGTCGAGCAGTGCAGTCACATCGCCCGCGGGATTGCTAAACTCGCAGTTCAGGCTTTGAAACAGAGGCGTGAAGCTGCTCGGGGCCAGTTGCGTGCACAAAGGCGATGAAGTCTGGATGCACGGAAGATGGATGCGGCGTTTGCTTGTTCGCGGCGTCAATGGAAGTGAGACGGTATGAGCAGTCGACATGGGGTCTTGTGTTGTTCGCATGTAGACATTCCCATTCGCGCCATTTTCACAAGCATCGCCATCATCACTGGTATCGAAGATAGATTTTCGCTCTGTGAATGCGACATGTAGACCCGGTATATCTTCTTTCTCTTCTTCTGTTGCGTGACATACAACCCCTTTGCTCGGCTCCATTGCAGTACCCAAGCTGGCTACGCTCATTCTCCGCGCACTCTCACATGCCTTTTCTACATCTTCGACTTGCAGCATGGCTGGAATAGAGTCATGGCGCCCGCTGTAACTCGCCTCTCGTATCCGCGCTTGGAAATACGTAGTTAGCAGGTTGTGGGCGCGCTCGCGCTGGCCAATGGTCAGGGTGGAGAGGGTGTGGATGGCGGAGAGCAGACGCAGTGGGAGGTGTGTGGGGGGTAGACTGGCGACGAGGTGGGAGGGGAGAATGGCGTTGGGAGTGGTGAGGGGGAGGGACCAGTTTTGAAGAATGGAATGGATGGTTGTTGGTTTGTCCATGGTTTATGTAGGTGGATCAAGGATATGTGTCGTTGTGAATATATGAACTCGGCGGATACGTGGTTGTAGTCTATGTGTAGATGGAAGTGCAGCCTGGGAGGTTGATGTAAGGCTATGAAACAAAGAATGGCTTGTGTAGCAAGGCTCTAGCGACTCGAGGCTTTGTTAGTGAAATCTGTAGAGAACAATCGACATCTCTTTGTTTAGATGCTACAACTGATTGTTTGGACTGGCGCTTGCTGGGGCGATGTCAATGTATTGTTATCAGTGATAAACAGAAGATTCTTTCCGTTTCTTAATAACAAGTGGTTTGAAGAACTTATCCAGATCCACGTGAAAGGTGATAGTTATCGCGAAGTTCAAGGACCTGTGATGTGTCATGCTATTAAAATAGGATATATAGGACAGCATAACTATTCTCCCTCGTCTGCAGGAAATTCGGCGGCACTAGGATATAGCCACTGCCAAACTGCCTGGTGTATTTCGAAATTTGTGTGGAATAAAGTTGAAGGAGTAGTACTATCTGGTCAATATTACCGCTACTAAGTGGGAAATGATCAGTATATAATCAAAGTCTACATGCTCATAAGAACTAGAAGCTGCCGCCACATAGCTAGCTGGGATAGATGTGCAGTATCCAAATAAATTTCATCTCTAAGCGCTTACTCTAATTTAACTATTCTACCTCAAGTCCAGCTGTGTTGCAACTACTCAAACATTGAGTACAAACATTTAATGTTCTAGTTAAGACTTCTTGAACTAGGGATAGTATGATCAGTACCATAGAAGGTAAAGCACAGTATTATTGTTTGTTCCAATTATTACATATAGAATGCAACTCAATCGCAACATGTCATACATGATGCACAGGGAAGCGTTCCAAGCCTTGATCCGTCCATCACCTTGTGTTGTTTTTCAGGATATCCTGTATACTGAGCAAGGGATTGAACACGTTCCAACCACTTCTTCCCTTGGCCTTTGGTTGGTCATGCTTGTACTCACAATGAGGATTTGTGCAGCCAGCAGGGCTTTTCTGCCACCTGCAAGGCGTATCTGCTATAGACAGCGTGTCCGGTTTGTTAGGTCTACTAGCGGCCTGCAGGATAGCATCTAGTTGTGATTCAACATCTGTTGGTGCATGATGTTGCTGAGAACTAGGTTGTGACACGTGTGATGGTCTATTGCCAGAACTGGCCTGCGTGAAGAAGAGCGGATCGTGGCTTTTCTTACATTTGTCATCGGAAAATCTACAGGTTCCCTTGATGAAGTATGGGCATGGGGCGTGTGCATACTTGCAGTCTTGGCCTCTATTGCAACTGCTGGTCAAATGTTTCCTGCAAGCCTGCTTCTTGTGATGATCCAGCCGACTAGGTCTTTGGCTGGCACTCAAGGTGCTACGCTGACTTGACGCATTATCAGTCTGTAAGATGGAGGTATAGGTTGAGATTTGGGGGTCGACTGGCCCAAGAAAAAAAGAATCATGACTTCTGTAGCAGTTGTTCCCGTTGTTGCAGTTGCCACTCAACCAGTGACGACAAGCTGTGTGAGGCAATGGGCATTTCTTACCGTTTGTGCAGTTGCCCATCTTGAAGTCATGGCAAGCCTCTTTAAAGCGATGGCCCGGTGCTGAAAATGCCTGGGAAATCATACTGTTGACTATATAGCCGGAAAAGGGGTTGTGTTGTCCGGGATTGGGTTGATCTGGGAGTATGACTCCTGAATCAGCAATTGTCTGCTCTATTTCCATGCTACTGTCACAGATACCCTCCATGGGCATAGGGGAGTCTTGAGGTGTCAAAAGACGCGTGTCTGGGTGAGAAGGCTGCCGTTGCTCAATGTGAAGAGTGTTTGTGGATGTAATAGCCGAGCTGTTCAAAGAAACCCGAGACCCAGGAAAGCTATTTATGGGAGTCAGGGAATTGTTGTTTGAAGATGAGGTCATTGAAGTATTCAGCTTTTCAGTTAGTTCTGCCAACATGCGTGCCATTTCTGTGTTGGTTGCTCACTCGGCAGCAAGGGCAGCGGTAAGTCGCTCCGTGTCGCGTAGTTGTTGTTCACTCTGCTTGCAATGTTGTCTTTCCAGTTCAGCTACAGTTGCAACCCAGCTCTCCTCTCCTGCGCTATGTTTTGCACTCTTCTCGGCAGAGGCTACCTCTAGCGCCTCGATGTGCCGGTTCAACTGCACTCGTTCGGCCTGAGCTTGTTCAATGCCTTGGCGGCGCGCGGCTTCAAGTAGCCGGACCTGCTCTTTCAATGTCTTTAGCTCTGCCGTTTTCTCATTTTCAGGGACTATGATGGAATTCTCTGCTTCTTCATGGTTAGTCTTTCCAGTCTGTTGGGCAAGCGTGTCCACGGCAGAGTCTATTAGCGTGGCTGAAAACTCGATGCAAGGAGATGGGATGCTAAGCCAACTTTTGATATCTTGGACGCTGTCTGTGAGATCACTGAGAAGCTCACAATGCTTGGGGTGTTGGACAAAACCTGTCAATACTGAGAGACAGGCTGTGGGAAGTGGCGTATACGGCATGATGGTGCGCCATTTTGTACCTTTGGCGAGCGTCATGTGTAGAGTGGCAATACAAGTGCGTGTGGTGGTGACAAAATCAAGATCGAACTGAGAATCACCAGACATCAGATCTTGGATGAAGAGCACGTCGCATCTGACGCTGTTGTAGTGGCTGATGAAGTCGTGGACAAGTGCCATTTTATCAGCTCTCGTTCGGGGGGCAAGACCTGCAAGGCGAGGGATCATATGACGAGCGGCGGTATCTGGCCTGAAATACCCCTTGGAGCGAGCATGCGTGAACATGACAAGGAGATCTTGTCGATAATCTTGTTCAACGTGGTGGGGATAACCGGCGATATCGAGGGTGGGCAAGCATGACTTGTGCTGGTTGAAGCACATGTCAGCCATGTACTAAAGGGTGTTATCATGGTGGGCAAGAGACTGCATGTGGTGTATACCTTGGGGTTGTAACTGTCCTTGTCGTAACGGGCCTTTTTTGAGCAAAAGGATGGATGGTCATAGTAGCCAGACTGTAGAGTTTAGTTTGGGAAGGGTCAAGGCAAGGGCGTCTCGGGCAACCTACCAGGTCTGAGTGATTGAGAGGGGTGATTTGTTTCCTCTTGGCGCTGGGCATGGGATTGGCGTAGGTCTGGTATTGACCGTTGGCTGTAGTGGGTCGATTCATGGGAAGCGGGAGATTGAGAATGGGGATTCACGGGGACTCGATTCGGCGGGTGGTGTGGGGTGGTTATCAAGGAGTTTGCAAGCACAGGGACTGGGAGTAGGCATTGTGTTGGGGAAGGAAAGAGCGACGGGCGTGGTGGTTGGGCCCGTGCGGCGGCGCTGTGTCAGACGTAAACAAAGGAAAGATGCAGACACGCGTCACAGGAATCAAGAGATGAACGAGGGCAATGGCGCACAATGAGAGTGCCAAGGGCATGGAGCTCTCTCTCTCTCTCTCTCTCTCTCACACACACACACACCCCCCCGGTCAGAATGTGGGGTGTGGGGAAGAAGGAAAGTCTAAGACCGACCAAGAGGCTGGGGCGGTGGAAGGACCGAGATGGCAAGCTCGTGCCCAGCAAACGCGTCCAGACGCGCAGACGCGCAGAAGAGCGGATGCCGTCGCGGGCGGTCGGTGGCGGAGGCTGCGGAGGTTGCGGAGTCGGCCTCCACTTTGTGCTTGTCAAACAGTGGTGAGGAGGAACTGGGCATTGCACGACGACATCAAGTCAACAAAGGCTGCCTACCAAGCCCTGTGGGGGATGTGTCGATCGCAGCCATAACCACCGAGGCAGAGGCGTGCCGGGGGTGGGGGAGTGGATGGAGGGAGGGAGGGATGCAATTGCAATGCAGCACACCGAGAGGAAAGGAGAGCGAGTGCCAAGACATGGGCCAAAAAAGAGCAAAAAAGAAAAAGAAAAAAAAGGCCGCGAGGCGCAAAAGTCGGGCGAGAATGGGCGAGGACGAGATTCGGGGGTGCGAGGGGAGGGGAGGGACAAGGGACAAGGGGGCTAGCGCGCCGAGAGGGCAGGAGCACGGGATGCGGAGGGCAAGTGCAGACAGGCAAGGCGTCGCCCAAGGCCGCGCGCGCCCTCAGTCAGTGTCTGCATTTTTTTGCGCTGCGCCATGTCCTCCCGTCGTCCTCCGCCAACATGCGCAATCCCGTAGCCTGTGTGTCGTGTCGTTCCGCCAAACAAAAGTGCATCCACCAGGACCGGCCGCCGTGCGACAGGTGTCGGCAGAGCGGGCGGGCTGAGCTGTGCGAGTTTCCCGGTAGGTGCTGCTGCTCTTGCTGTTGCTGGTGCTGGGGGAGTCGTTGTTGCTGGCGTCGTCGTTGTCGTTGGCGTCGTCGTCATGATGGCGGCAGCGGCGGCGATGGTCATGGCAATGGCGGTGGTAGTGGTGGAGATGAGCGTGATAGCAATGGCGGGATTGGCACACTGACAGCGTCTGCAGCCCCCGGCACGAGTGCCATCCATCGCAAGCCCAAGCGGCCACGGCCCTCTGAGGATGCAGGAGACACGCCGCCCTCCAACGCACCACACGGCACCAGCAGGGCCGAGCACGGGCAAGTAGGCGCGATGCAAGAACATGTAGCTCATAAAGTGGATGCAGTGCATGTAGCAGTAGGCCTGGCCCTGCTCGACGGCATTGTGGCTGTGGAGGGTAAAGAGGTCGTACTGGAGGCGCTGGGGCAGTGACGACTTCCAGCCTTCGAGCTCGTAGATGAGTTGCTGAAACTGCGAAGACGAGGACCAGGGCAGCTCCGTCTTGAGGTCTTCGTTGCAGGCCCAGCGAGCGACCTTGCCCCAGATGTTGGCGGCACGCATGCTGTAGGCAATGATGCCGATTTCGCCGACGGGCAGGGCGACGGGGGGCATGCGCTGGGTGTTGTCGAGCTGGGGGGTGCACTTGGGCTCGCCAAAGACAAAGTCCTCGCGCTCGCAGGGCAGCTGGATGGACATGTCTGCGGCCGTCAGCGACCTCTTGCGGCCCTTGCCGCCGCTCAGCAGCGAGTCCATGAGGAAGCAGGTCCAGGCGGTGCGGCGGCGGACTTCGGCCTCGATGAACTCCTCGCGCGTGGGGACGCGGTTGCGCGGGATGCCCGTCTCGCGCGTCAGGTCCATGACCTCGACGAGGCGGATGGCCATGCCCAGGTATATCCAGGCGCGCCTTCCGTTGCCGGCGCCCCAGTCATGGCCGGTCAGCATGAGGAGGGCCTGGACGCGGCTGATGGAGGGCGTTTCGAGGTCCTGCTGCAGGATCTGGCGGGCATGGGCGGCATAGGCATTGCTAGCCTCTGTCTGGGAGCGGAAGGGGGGCGGGGGGTCCTTGACGAATCTGGCAAGGGGTTAGTGGCCGTAGTGATGGTGTAGTAATAGAGGAGTAGCAGTAGCAGTAGCAGTAGCAGTAGTAATGCAAACGTACCGGATGGCCAGCGCCAGCATGGCCCAGGCCATCCATGGCTCGAGGGTGCGGTCACGGATGCGCAGCAGCAGGGTTGGGGTGTGGTGGAAGCTCCACTTGTACGAGCATCGCAGGTAACTGTTCTTGACCTCGTCGGTGAGCAGCTCAAAGGGATCCAGGCCGTCGAGCAGCGCAGATGCCGCCGTCGGCGAGGCGTGTGAAGCGGCATGGCTGCCGGTCGGCACGGGTACGTCATGGCGGGCCTGCTGGGGCGCTACGGCGGCTGTGCTGGAGCTGGTGCCGGTGCCGGTGCCGGTGCTGGTGCTGGTCACCAGAACGGCACGGGTGCCGAGGAAAAACCTTCCTCTTACCACCAACACCGCGACATGTGGAAGAAGTGGGAGAGGTCGTCTCGCAGAGAGCTGTTCAAGGATTCGGTCATGGTGCTGGACATGCTCGAGGAAATGCGCACCTTTGGTGTCTACTTCCTACGCGGACTAGTCCCGTGGATCGGCTTCACCATCTACACCGCCGTAGGAGCCATGCTGTACTCGTTCAACTTTCCCAGTGGCGACGATGACCCCCGCTGGCAGGAGAAGGCTCGCAACAGCGTCATACAAGGCTGTAACTTTCTCAAGGAGATGAAGACGCAGTGGCCCATGGCCAAAACATGGGTAAGCCTACAAGACAACGCCGTACCAATACACACTGACACAGCACTTCAAGTTCGATACCATTCGCCGCATGCAGGCCTACTACCGCTCCATCCTGGGCCAGGATGGGCCCGCTTCCCCAGAAGAACGCCAGGCTCTTCGTCACGCAATGATTGACTACGGCGCATTACAGCCCTCACCAGTCCAAAAGCCAAATGATTCCTCCAGAGCACCCGAAACCCCATTGGTAGCTTCGAGTCTTTCGCCCCAGGAACACCATCAACATGTAAATTGTCTTGCTTCCTTTTTTTTCCCTTTGCATGCTGACCCTCTTGCTAGCGCAAGCCCATTGTCGCCAACATTACCAATCCGTCACTTAGCAGCCCGCTTCCTACCACTGCAGCCATACCCGGCGGATATACGCCGGATTTCTCATGGAATACACCACCCGCTGTTCAGCCTCTCGAGGCGGATGAGACGTTCAATCTCGATTCTTTTGACCTGACCAACGAGGAGCTCGAGGCAATGATGATGAACGCTACCCAGGAATTTTGGGCTAGCTTTCCTGGTGAGGTTGGCGTGGGATATTAACCGGTTTGTAATCGGCCTGTAACAAAAGTTCCGCAAAGGAGTAAGGCGTTGTGGCGGCTTGTTTTCTCGCTATTCGCCAGTACTCATAATCTCTCCGTCTGAAGACGGAGGAAGCAGCATCCCTTCAACCATTGTACACAGCTCTCTGCACTCCACGACCCATGACTCTGGTGCACGTATGAGTCAAGCTGTACCCAACCTGTGCGCATGAAAAAAAACGTTCTGCATCATGTCCGTCTATTCAATTTATGTATTTTACGTAACATGTAGGGTGTAGGAATAAGAGTTTCGTTTCGGCATCAGTCAAAGCATACAGTATGCCACTCTGCAACTCTAACTGCCAACTGCAGTGACTCGCCAATACCCGTGCCGCCTTGGCACTGTAGCGTCATGCACACGGACCCGTCATGCAATGTGCCTTCCCTATTCGGACCACCTATTCCATGCTAGCCGCCTCTGTGTAACTGTCACTCTGAATCCGCATTGGCCGTTTCGACTCCTCAAGGTTTCTTCATCCACCTCACCACCCAGGAACAATAGCCGAGCGCTTATCTGCATCCCTAGCTCTATCCTACATTAGCGTAGGCTATATGTTGACGTGCCTGACAATGCCAACCAAGTCACTCTCGACTGACCACAGGTCCCAGTCCGGTGCATGTGGAAGACTACTGTCGATGAATATCTTTTGCCGCATACCCGTGCATAAAAGTGTCATGGACCCTGGCTGAAAACTGTAAAGACAGATACTCGCCTCTTCACATCCACTTTATACCTGCAGGTCTGGCAATTGAGTCCGCCATGAAGTTCACCAAGGGCATTGTGTATGCTACCCTTGCAACTGCCGTGGGGGTTTCGGCACACGAACCGTTTGAAGCACCCAACTTCAACCTAACCCAAGCACTCATCAAAAACGATATCAACATATCCGCAATCCCAGAACTTTCGGCTATGCAAAAGAAAGGCGGGAATGCTCTTGGTTTGTATCCCGAGCATGGCCCTTACGTCCATGTTCTTGTGTACATGGCCTGGAATCATTCTAGCAATGAGGCGGCAATGATGGAGGCTGCAGAAGAGTATGTCCGGACGTCGAAGAACATGGCCCGGAATCTGGGTGTCGATAACGACTACCATTATATGCCATATAGCAGCGGCTATCAGCCTGTGATTGCAGGGTATGGTGCGGAAAATATGGCTAGACTGGATGCTGTGTCGAGGAGATATGATCCTTCGCGGGTTTTCCAGACACTGCAGCCTGGGTATTTCAAGTTGAGTGGCAAGGCACCTTTTGGGGTGATTGTATAGAAATGCATGAACATGGTGCCTTTACGAATACCTCCAATTGCTACATGGAGGGACCCTGCAATCAATTCGGCCTCTAGAGTGCATGGCGTTCTGCTACAATACCTATTCAGTGTATATCAATTCAGACTATTTTCATTCTGAAATCCGTCTGTCACAATATCACGGAATTTTGCAAAAGTAGGAAGTGCAACACGATTGGTACATACGGATCACGTATAATGAATTCCCGGATTACACCGCTTCGAGTGTTTAAAAAATATAACAAGTCTTTGAGCGTTTTTGATTTGGTCATTGAGATCTGACATGTGCGTTTATGTTATTACCTAGAAAAATATATTGGCATGAAGACTGGCTAAAGTCCAGCCACAAATTGGTTGTGGCCCGCCCGTCGCTGTAAAAGGGTAGCTGGTGGTAGTGAGGTGGGTCAAGCAAAACCCAGCCAGAGACCCGAAAGCATTGTTCGTGGGAAAGACGGTAATTGTGACAGGCTCCACCACTGAAATTGGCCTCCCAGCTGCGACCGCGCGTCTTTCGAGGCATTGGCAAACGGAGTTGCCAGCAACTATGATGGGACTCATATGGCGGTGCTGAACGCGGGCGTTGCACCTGCAAAGTATGCACATCTAGTATGAGAAAGCCGAATATGAGGTAAATCCATGAGTCAATTTTCTGCCCACGCCCTACCGTGCAATGTTATTGCGCCTCAGACTGAAGAGCAACGCCAACGCAGCAAATAGCAATACCCCAGCCCAGCAGGCTATCATTGGCAGCGTTGCTAGCAAGTATGTCCCCTCTGGAGATATTGAATTCAAAAGCAGCCAAATTTTGGCCCCCATACTTCATGGTCATGCTGCTTTTGACATTATAAAATTTTTAGAGTACTTAATGAAGTTGACCCGCGCGTACAGTGCATGCGCGCAGATCGTGTTGATGATTTCGCCGAAGACGCCCAGGGTAACATCTATGTCTTCACCAATATTCCATGCCCCAGCTACTGTAAGACTGAGCTCAGACAAAAGTCTCTGTGCGATTCATTCCAATGATACTGATGCCGATATTCCTGGGACGCTTGGCGGAACAGGGAACCTGCGGGTTGGTCAGTTCAACGCTTTTTGGTAGGAGTAACCATAATAAATTCTAATGTAGTGACATCTTTAGTTAATGAGGTTCGTCAGTCCTTGGTGTAAATAATCAGAGATAGTAACGCGAAATAGTTGCAGTGAGATGTTTACAAGCGATCAGGCAAAGACATTGCAAGTGCCGATGTGGATCGAGATCCCCCAAATTCATGGTAAATAGGGATTGTAAGCTGAGTAATGCTTATGGCGTGAGTGAGGCATAAGAGCAGATGATTGAGTTTTCTGTCGTTCCGTGCCTCAATTGACACTATGTAGTCTAAATTTAGAAAGGTAATGTGCGATATTGTTGAGCTGATGGAACGGTCCACTAGGATCGAACTGGCCCTGGAGACAAGGAGGAGAATGTCTGCACACTCAAGTGTGTCTAAGTTGAAGTCATCCTCAAGTGGCACACAATGAATGAAACTTCTCCTGCTAGATAGACCATATCGTAGAGTCTTCGTACTCTCGGCAAACATGAGAGACTTCACCAATCCATTCCTGCCTCTTTGAGATAAACATAGATACCATGTGCTAAAGGACCACAGAAACCTGAATTCAGCGAACCGATGTTTTGAACGCCTAGCGGAAATTCGCCATCATCATCGCAACCATGGCCGGAATTGGGATCACTGTTTCTGCGGCACTAGAAAAAGAAATGTTACATTCAATGCCCGATATGGATGCGAGATACTTACGCAGTATTGAGTTCTGGTATAATTGAAGACTTCTCTTGTCCGCGGTTCCCAGGTCGACACAGTTGCCTGTGTATTAGAATTTTGGCAACAGAGGGCGCCTGGCACATTGGGATCGAAAACTCCATAGAGGAAGGTATCTTGTGAAGCCACCGTAGCTGCCATAGAGAAGATTGCCAATATAAACGGCGTATAGGAGGGAGAATTAAACTTCATACTTGACGTGAGGTGTAAAGGCAAAAGTGATCTGAATCGAACTCGAAAAGTTTGTGCAGTTGAACTGAGATGGAGTTTGTTCCAAGGTGTGGTAAAATTATAAATATCGCAACATGCCTAGAAGACACGAAAAAAAAATTCTTTCGGAACTAGTTCGCCGAACCTAAATGTAAGACAAGTAACTAAGCATACGAAGTATGATATTTCTTTGTCATCTCGGCCTTCCCCTGATGATCACAGTCGGACCGGACTCCTCGATCCTCCTATCAATCTACTAATTTCGATCTTGTAAGAATCCCTTCCCTCTATGCCAGTGTCCATTCCATGGATCTATTATTTGAAGCGAAATAGTGCAATAGAGAGGTTTCATTTAAGGTGGATTCTGGTCTGCTGAGACTGTGAACCGCCAGTGACCATTGGCCTGATCACCACAATTACCTCCAACATATACACTCAGCCCCCCGCGACCAATATTAAAAGGTTTTGATTTATCGCAGCCATGGCCGTGATTAGGATCGGATCCGAGTATACACTATAAAAAATAAGGGTTGATCAAGCGTCAGTCCAGAGAACAAGCCACTTACACAGTACCTCCATCCCCAATACCACGTCTGGGGGTCACCGATTCTGAAGGGGCCCCATCCAAACCAGTCATTGCAGCATGAATTCGGTGATTCATTTGGCGATTTAACTGTAACTGGGACCCCTGGGTTATCTCCGATATCCGCAGCGACTCTAGGAACTGCACAAAGGAGCGCTAATACAATAGGCGTGCACAATAGTCGAGCGTGCTTCATGATGCTGTTTGAATATTCAAGAAATCGAGATTTTCGCCCGGTCCCGAGTTCTACAGGTTCAGAAATATATATAAATGCGGTCGAGGCTCTCGCCTACGTATCCCTACCCTTCATTTACTTATTTTAGCACCAGAGACTGTCTACAGGCTAAGATTTTGCGTGATTTTACATGCTGAACTCTCTTCTGAGGCAACTCATGACATGCCTTGTTAGTGGCTGAAGAAACCTAGAACGGGCCGAGTGCGGAGACAAAGTTTTTGAATCTTGTACGGGATCTGCTATCAAGCGGGAAACTCGAAGCATTACATAGTTTTACATGAGAATGTTTTTTTAAAGCACTCCGTCCCGCATAGACACCATATATCTATCAAACGCCTATCTTGAACCATTCGTAATATAAAATGAGGCGACCTATCTCTCGAACCCTTCAAATGGCACTCTCTTCATTGACTGAAACGCTTGCGATCGACAGCGGCTGCAAGCGCTGAGTCAGGAAGTGCCCAAGCTCTTATCGAGTCCTTCTTAGAAGTGTATCAGAGATAGCTACTTGATTGCTAGAAGAACAAGCCTCCGCAAAGCATCTTATCATTCGCAAAAACACATCAATAAGTTGTCTATTCTCTATAGGACTAGGTACTCTGTGCAAACTATGACCGAAGTTTGATAGACTAAAGGTGGGTTGCTGTAACCTGGAGCCCTGTGACCGTCTAGAAAACGACTAGAAGTCTGAAGAATGGGCTGGCACGCGGATTTGGAATGGTGTGCGCGAATTCTTGGGCGGTCCCTGCGTGCTACATGCTGCTGACGCTAGCCTCTAGAACATTGGAGGTCATAGCTGCTGAGTTGAGAATGTACAAGCTGTTTGGCAATTTAGCCCGATTCCCTGCATTTGTGTATATCATGTTAGCTCTCAGGTGCGCTTAGCTTTAGTAGAGATAGAGCGAATGTACCTGATTTCCAGAGATCAGGCAGATGTTCCACATTCTCTGTTTCTGCTGACTCGGATATTTTAGGTGACTTAATAAATAAGCAAGGGTTATATGGTAGAGAAGCACCACAATAGAGTGCAGTTTGAACAAGAGCTTGGCAGTGCCTGATAAGCAGTGGTTGTAGATAGCACATGGGTGGCGTACATGTGCGTAAGGACCGCTATACTCACGCGCTTAGAGCTAGTTGTCACTGGTGTATACAAATTTAGTAATGACAGTATAGCATATGCGTTTCCCTGAGTGGGCTAAAATGCATGTTAACATCGTAAGGGTATCCATAACTAATTTCGACAGATAACTATATGGTATCACTGAGGTATATCAAGTATTGAAAGCTCTCATACTATAGTTTTTTCGGGTATCATAGCGGTTGAAAGAGCTAGTGCTGAATTGAATTTGCTGCTTGGGAGGTGCATGGGGAAGATGTTCCCCAGAAAATAGCTCGTATTTTCTGTCCAGTCATTGACATACGATAGAGACACGTGGCATCTACCTCGACTATGATCTGGAGCTAAAGCTGTAATCAGAAGCGCTGGGATAAGAAAAAACACTTCCACCGTATAGAGGCCAAGCATTCAGATAGTGTGTAGTGCTGTATGACATATTTCCTCTCGCCGCTAGACAACATAGAGTTTTGGAATACCGAAGTGACTAATGCTTAGTCTAGACAAACGAAGAACATGCCAAGAACATGACAGAATCCCTGGATGGGATTGTGAAACTCGTGCCATATGTCAAGAATAGCAAAAGTCCCGCCAAATAACATTGCCCGCAAGGATCTGTGGTCAGCGGTGCCTAGGCCAAATTACTCTGCATTATGTAAATAGAATGCGAGTAGTAAGCTAAGTGTAAAACGATACTGCTCGTAACACCACAGGGCCGTAGGGTATGTTGTCAGACTTGAGGCGATATCAAATAAATTAGATACATAGCTATGCAGATGGCTTCTTCTTCGCACCAGGCAAGTCCCACCAAATTTCATGCAGATCTCGCAAATCTACATCCTGTCCAGGCGCCTTGAGATAGGACGTGATATCCGTGTCTCGATCGGTCTCTGCTTGCGTGTACCCGTTACCAAAATATGCGAATCGATTGACTTTATTCTCGCGATCGTATTCCCAATCCTCCCACCGCGGTTCGCGCCGTACTATGGTGAGGTGTGCTGCGCTGCCGGGCCACAATCCATGGATGCGTTGTCCTGGTGAACCGCCATTGTTCCATGATGAGCATTTGTCGGTTAAAACCGTGGTGGGGAAAAAGGCGTCACAGTAGTCCACAAAGTCGTCGGTTGCTTCTTTGGAGGGTGCCAAAGATCTGATGCCTTGCGATGATGCTTTGCGGAGAACCTTGGCAAAGTACACGACAGCTGTTTCTACTCCCTGAGGGACTGTCCCAGATGGGCCGGTAGCGTGAGGTCCCGCGAGAAGGAACAGGTTCGGAAAGCCCGGTGTGGCCAGTCCCATGTAAGTGTATGGGAAGCCCCATTTGCCCTCCGGCTTCCATGCTTGGCTCAAATCAATTCCGTGTGCTTTTATGGGAAACGGCGGGACAAGATCGGTGTTTGCACCTGTTGCACAAAAGATTGCGTCGACGTCGAAAGTTTCCCCATCCAATGTTTCGATTCCGGTAGCAGTGAATCGCTTGATTGGTGTCTTCACTAATGTGACATTGTCTTGGGTGAGTGACTCGAGATATCCAGGACCAGGTGTCAAACGTCGACAGTGTGGTGCAAAGTCTGGGATTAATCCGTCTAGAAGCTCTGGCTTCTTTGCTGCCCGTTTCTTCATGACGTCGATGAAGGCTTCTCGTATGCCTTTGTTGTCCTCTGAACCCCGTATCATTGCACGAAACCCCCTCCAGTAGCGGTCTTCAATGTCTTTGCGGAAGGCCAGGTAGGTTTCGGGATCTTCGAATGACTTTCTCTGCTCTGCTGAGTACGGCTGAGGCTCAAACGTGCGTTCATCCCCTGCCCAAGACGTTGCGATCCATGTTGGGTTCCGAACAAAGTGGGTGACATGCTTTGCCACAAGCTGCAGATTCGGTACGACTTGGATGCCGCTAGCTCCGTTACCAATGACTGCTACGTTTTTGCCTTTGGGATCAAACGAAGAGTCCCAGTTGGAGGTGTGTCTCAGAAAGCCCTTGTATTCGTCGATGCCTGGGTAGTCGGGCAGCTTCCAAGCATTAAACCGACCGATAGCGGTGATGACGAAGTCGAAAGTCTCAACGGTCGTCTTCTCATTGACGAGATCGTGAACTTTGACACGCCACTGGGACTGCGCATCATCCCATTCTGCTCCGTCTACGCGGTGTTGTAACTTGATGTACTTGTACACGCCGTACTTGGCTGCTTGCGATTGCCAATAGTCTCGAATCTCGGCGCCTTTGGCAAAGATTTCTGACCATTGCGTATTGGGGGAGTAGGTACTTTGATACACGTGTGCGGGGATATCGCATCGCACACCAGGATAGACATTCTCAAGCCATGTGCCGCTCTACACGCAGGTAAGTTTTTTTCCGGAAATACGCGAGACAGTCCAAGTTACTGACCACGTCTTTGTTCTTTTCGTATATGGTCAGGTTGATGCCCGGTACTTTGGCAGGCAGAAGAATGCCCGCATTGATGCCCGCCAGACCCGCTCCAATGACGGCAACCTTGAGACTTCGGACTTGATCAATGTGTCGGGTCTGATCTAGCTGAAGCCTAGAGACGGGGTAGTCGATGGGGAGAGCAGGACGGTTGCTGGCATGCCCCGGCTCGTCTGCTGGGGCCAGGTGTTGGGTGAGTTGAGTGACGCGCCGCGTTGGGGTCCGGGTCTGGCCGTCGCGTGCCGCCGTGTCGTTGGTTGGGGCCATGTCGCCGTGACAGTGACACCGAAGGAAGGGCGCGGCTTTCAACGCCCTCGACGACGCTTTAATACAGCTTGGAGGCTAACCAAGTACAACGCTCCACACACGTCCCGCGTCTCCAAGGACATGAGTCACATGCTGCTGCTGGCTCCGGCGTCGCAGTACCGACCTTGGGGCAGAGCGGCGTAATCACGTCTTCACCCCACTCGCTGACGGTATCTTGCCATGTGGCCGTCGCTCCTACGTATCAATGTCTCGCTAATTGCTGCAGCATATCCATCTAGAGCCAATCACGCGCCATCCAACCCGAGCCGCGACGGTCCCCAGCATGCGTCTCCGGGACCATGGCTCGTTGGGGCCCTCCATGTGCAGAATCGCGCCTTATGAGGCTCGCATCATGCCCGTCTCTGGACACAAGGAACTCGATGCAGACGGAGGAACCACCATGTCCATTAGCGTAATATGCGGAACTGACATGGAATCCGCTCGTTCCACCGCCATGATCTATCTACTGTACCCCGCAGCAGGACAGCAGCAAAACTACGTCGACGTAAAGATCGTCTCATGCATGTCCAAGGAAATACCATCTCATGTCTCTGTCGATGTATGCAGGTACAGGATGAGTTGTATCGGCAAGGGAGACATAGACAGGCTTCCAACCCAGTAATCATTGCCGAACAACAACTAGTCGGTGCCTCATTTTGCAGGCATAAATAATAACACCGAACAACAGCATGACACCTCAGCTCCTCCAGCAGAGCCGGAAACTTGTGGCGCCATTGTATGGAGACCATCGTTCCTACATCTCTTTATGCAGCTTTTGATCGAGTACCTTGTGCGACCCTGGTATATTGCGCGTGAGATTCTCATTCTGCTGGAGTAGCGTGTGCATGGATTCTTCGAAATGATCACATCATGCTTGTTGATATGATTGTTTTAGCCACGTCTTTGGTCCTTTGGTCGTCCCGATTGAGCGCATCTATACAAATAACTCAACCAATAGTACGGAAATGCCGAGACTAGGGAACGATGTGCCTTCTAAGTACATCAGGTACACATAGGGAACCTTAACTGCTGTGATAATATGGTTCGCACACACACACACCAACTTTTAAGCAGAAATCTTTCATCAAAACTCGTCAATTTTCTATCAGATATAGGGGTAACACGTCGCGAGAAACCGATTTACGCCACCTCTAATGTGTGCAGCCCTCTCGTTGAGGTGCTAGAGGGGGTATTGTCGGTATTCTTGCGACGTGTTCGAAATGCGAAAATCTTCGAGAACGCACAGACCGCCCCAATGACTAATAGGGAGACTACTAAACGAAACCAAAAACAATTAAAAACACCAAATAAAACAACAAAAATCAAAAAT